TGGCTCACAAAGGGAGCCTTGTCTCTGACAATTGACAGAGGGCAGAGGTGTCTCTCTGGTGCAAACAGATGTTTCCTGGAAAGGAGAAGTGTCTCCCTGGCTAATTACCACCTTAGAGACCTCCTGCAGTCTGCCCTTCATTCTGAAAAAGTATTTGAAGCTTTTTCCATGTAAAATAATGATTTTAGTTCAGTTTAAATGAAACCAGTCAAGGACACTTCACACTTTAGGCGGCCTAAGCTTCCTGTGAAATGAGAAAGAAGTTAGCATTGATTGCAGAAATCTGATTAGAACAGATCCGTCTGTAAATGAGGTGACTTTTGGAATCTGTTCCATTTTAAAACCATCAGCATGTGTCCAGCCCTGTGCAAGTCAAGAGGAATAAACAGGATGAAGCCTGTTCTGGGACTTTACATGCTAGGCTGTAGTGGATAACATAAACATACAGTAAAAAGGTTATTGTAAGAAGGGCTCTGAAGGAAGTCAATGCCTTGTCCACATGTGCACGGGGTAGACCTCTGAGACATTGTGATGTCACAGCTAGATTCTCGCTGTGTTGAGCCAAGACGGGGTGGGGATGCCTCCCCAGGCCAATGTAAAGGGCCATCTCAGATTCTAACCCTCTGTGTCAGGCCCAGGACCCCTCCTGCAGACCCCTCCTGATGCTCTGGTAGCCCCAGGTAAGGGAGTGGTGAATCATGAACCATGGAACTGGGAGTTTAGAGGAAATGGCAGCATTGTCTAGTAAATAACTGTAATGTACACTCTTTTGCCTGCACCCTAATTAGCCCTGATTTGCAGGTGAGTTGCTTTTCTTTTAGAAGCAGTTCAGCCAGGGGGAGAAGACTATCTCTGGCTGTCAGCTTGGAAGAGGAGAAGCTGCCAGACCTGGACTAGCCCTGGGAACATCCCCGGAAGCCCCACTGTCACACCATACCCAATGGGTTGCTGCCCCTAGGTCTGAGCTCCAACCCCACCTCGCTGTGGAGGAGGGGCCCAGTAGAAGGCGTTTGTGGCCTCCTCTAAGGGAATGGAGTTTGGGTCCTGTCTCTGTGGGAAAAGGCTCTTCACTGCAGGGCATGGAGCCCAACTGGGCTGAGTCTTACAAAATGTTCTGTTTCCTAAACAAACGTGTCATAAAGAAAGGGTGGGGCCGGGCAGGCACTGATGACAAGGTAAACTAGGGAAGAAGCTGCCAGAGGCTTTACTCCCTTGACTGTAGCTTAGTCTACTACCTGTCCCTGTTGCATGTCATGTCTATACTAGGTATTTGGGCTCCAAGGCTCCTTTTTATGTCGCTAGAGTTGTGGTTGTTGGTCCAGGGATTTCCCATTCCGAGTAGGACCCAGGACTCGGTCCAGCTGACCTCCGAAGCACCTGGGCCAACTGAGCCCTGGTCCTCACACTCCTTGGACGGCCTTCCTGACATGCGGCAGATGTTTACACCCCCAGAAGACCAGGGGGACTTTGATCATCTAGGGTCATCTGCTCCCTCGCAGGTGTTTGCCCCACCTCGTTTATTGACTGACGGTTTGCTTCAGTTCCTAGACCAGGATTCTGGTAGGCAGCCGTCTCCAGAGCCAGATCCATTTGCTGTTGCACATCAGGAGGTGAGTGACGAGCTAAACCTGCCTGAGACCCCCAGAAGCGGTGCCGATGCCCAATAGGGAACAGAATCAGGGCCCCGTGTTAGGGTATGAGGCTGGCCACCTTCTGAGAGGACAAAGGACACTCGAGACAAAGGAAGTCACAAGGCGAGGTTTATTTTCTAGCTAGCTAGGGTCCGAGCATCTGCCTGACGCAGCAGGTTTCAACAAGGACCCTGAGAGCAAAGTTTAAGCAGGTCTTACACTCTTTAAAGCATCAATCATCGTCACATAGGAATTCCTCATGCCCCTGGGGTCACATTTTCCTGTTCTTGCCCACATCCTGGTGGTGGGGTAATATTATTTATTGGGAACTGGGGAAACACCAGAGGTTTACTTATCAGGTTACAAGGAATGCGTTCTCCCATAAATTAGGGGCTAGTAGTGGAATAGAAACCTAAGGTTTAGATAAGAACAGCAGGGGAGTCCTGTTTTGGAAAGTTTATTTACAAGTGGAGACAAAGAAAGGCAGGAATGGGTCTTATCTCTGCATGGTGCCTTTCATCTCAGTCCCGAACTTTTGCATGGCTCTAATGGGCAATTCCTCACAGCTCTGTCCGAGGTTACAGCTTTTAATTGACGGTTTACCATGTTCTACAACCCTGTTTCAAGGCTATCTTCCTCTTCACGAGGTTACCCAAGGGTCATGCCAGTTATAGCTGAATTTTAGGCTAGGTGGGCTGCAAGTTAAAGTACCCCAACAATTTCACAGTGAGTTGCTTTTCTTATAGAAGCAGTTCAGCCAGGGGGAGAAGACTATCTCTGGGTGTCAGCTTGGAAGAGGAGAAGCTGCCAGAACTGGACTAGCCCTGAGAATATCCCCAGAGGCCCCACTGTCACACCATACCCAATGGGTTGCTGCCCCTAGGTCTGAGCTCCAACCCCACCTCACTGTGGGGAGGGGCCCTGTACAAGGCTTTTGCGCCTCCTCTAGGGAATGGAGTTTGGGTCCTGTCTCTGTGGGAAAAGGCTCTTCACTGCAGGGCATGGAGCCCAACTGGGCTGAGTCTTACAAAATTTTCTGTTTCCTAAACAAAAAGGTCATAAAGAAAGGGTGGGGCCGGGCAGGCACTGTTGCCAAGGTGAGCTAGGGAAAAAGCTGCCAGAGGCTTTACTCCCTTGACTCTCGTTAGTCTATTACATGTCCATGTTGCATGTCATGCCCCCTCTAATGATTTGGGCCCCAAGGCTCCTTTTTATGTCGCTAGAGTTGTGGTTGTTGGTCCAGGGATTTCCCATTCCGAGTAGGACCAGGACTTGGTCCAGCTGACCTCCAAAGCACCTGGGCCAACTGAGCCCTGGTCCATACACTCCTTGGACCGCCTTCCTGGCTTGCAGCAGATGTTCACACCCCCCCCCCCCGGCCGACCCGGCGGGTTTGATTACCTGGGTCATCTGCTCCCTCGCAGGTGTTTGCCCACCTCATTTATTGACTGACGTTTGCTTCAGTTCCTAGATCAGGATTCTGGTAGGCAGCCGTCTCCAGAGCCAGATCCATTTGCTGCTGCACATCAGGAGCTGAGTGACGCTAAACCTGCCTGAGAGACGCCCAGAAGCGGTGCCGATGCCCAATAGGGAACAGAATCAGGGCCCCACTCTGCCTCCTCCACTTCAAAGTAAGACTCAGACTGTCAGCTTAGATCAGGCTTCAGAGAGCCAAACATTTGATATACCTCTTCCACCTCTTGATCGTCAGATTTCAAAAGTAGCAAAGTTTATTGTTTCACGCTGGAAACTGAAGAAGGATGCTGCTCAACATCAGAGACTTGATGAGACTGTGGCTGGAACTCCACACCAATTTGCAAATTCCTTCAATTCAGCCAGTTCCAGCTCCAGAGGTGACAGTTCAACCTCCAGCTCAGGATCAAGGTCAACAGGATACCTCGCCCAGCGTTACGGGTAAGCCTGTGGATGTGGAAATCACCTTAAGTCCAGAGCCTACCCGGGAGGCTGCATCTTCTCCAACTCAGCCTTCAGAGTTTGCTGAAGGGGCAGAACCTTCTCTCAGTGAGAAGGAACAAGCAGCTGAGCCATCTGTGTCTCCTGGGGAGGCTCAGCCTTCTGGAATTCACATGGCTGCTCCAGCCCAGGCCTCAGAGCATGCTGAGGAGTCTGAACCTCCTCCACCCCAGCAGGAAGAACCGGCTCAGTCCTCAGTGTCCTCCGAACAGTCTGAAGCTTTGAAAACCCAGCATGAGATTATAACTCAGAAGCCAGAACCCTTAGAAAAGGATGAACTTTCTCCAGTCAGTCAAGGGGCTACAGCTCAGCCAGAAGAGCTTCCTGAGGAACCTTCTCCAAGCCAGCAGGAGAGCTCAGTTCCTCCTGTAATGCCCCCTGTGAATACTGAACTTTCACCAATTCAGCCACAACTCCCAACTCAGTCTCCAGAATCCTCTGAGGAGGTTAGTGATCTTCCTCCATTGGGAGATAGCATATCATTTTCACCTCAAGATCTAGAAATAATGTTTAGAAAGCAGCATCCAAATTTGCAAGAAACCACAGATAAACATGTGGATATGGAGATTACCATGACTCCACAGACCACTGTGGAGTTTGAACCCATTCCAGTCCAGCAGGACACCCAAAACCCTACAGATGCCACTGAACAACTTGAATTTTCTCCGACCCAGTCTGGTTCCCCTTCCCAGACTCTAAAATTCCTGGAAAATATCGAATCTTTTCCAGGCCAGCCAGAACCCACAGCTCAGCCTTCTCCAGCCCGACCAGAGCCCATAGCTCTGCCTTCTCCAGCCCAGCCAGAGCCCATAGCTCTGCCTTCTCCGGCCCAGCCAGAGCCCACAGCTCTGCCTTCTCCAGCCCAGCCAGAGCCCACAGCTCAGCCTTCTCTGGCCCAGCCAGAGCCCATAGCTCTGCCTTCTCCGGCCCAGCCACATCCCATGGTTCAGACTTCTCCAGGCCAGCCACAGCCCACAGCTCAACCTCCAGTGCCTTATGAGATGACAGTTCCAATACTAAGTCAGGATGAATCTCAGTATTCAATGTCCAGTGTCACAATTCAACCTTTGGATCTGGAGCTCCCATAACCTCCAAACCCACTACAAAGGTTAAAAATTCTCCACCTGTGAAGAAGACTAGAACTCCTCCTCCAAAGCCCCCTCAAGTGACACTTCCACATCCAGTCCAGGTACAGGCTCAGCATCCAGGTCTGACTGAAGGCACAATTCAACCTGTGGATCTCCAACTTAGCATAACTGTACAACCTATTACTGAAGATGAGCCTTCTCCAGCCATGCAAGAGACCCCAGTTCAGCTTACAGAGCCCCCTATGGAGGTTGTACCTCAATCCCCAGTACAACAGGAATGACAGTTCCGATACAGGTTATTAACCATAACTACAGAAAGCACCACAGGAGCTGACCTTTCTCCCGTTGTGCAGGAGACCTCAACTCAGCCTCCAGAGCCACCTGAGCACCCTGAGGTGACACTTCCACATCCAGTCCAGAATCAGGCTCAGCATCCCAACCTGAATGAAGTCACAGTTCAACCTTTAGCTCTAGGAGTTCCCTTAACTTCAGAGTCCAAACAGTCTACTACTCTGAAGAAGACAACAGCTCCTCCCCAAAGGTGGAGGTGACACTTCCACAAGTCACGGTTAAGACTTTAAAGCTGGAGCTTACCAAATCTTCACAACCTACCACAGAGGTTAAACGTTCATCTATGCAGGAAACCTCAACTCAGCCTCCAAAGCCAGCTGCAGAGACTAAAATTCAGCCTTCAACATCAGGTCAAGATCAGGCTCAGCGTCCAACGTTGGCAGTTACAGAGGCAAATAACACTATAACTCCTCCTCCACAGCACCCTGAGGTGACACCTCCACATTCAGAACAGCTTCAGTCTGGTCTGGAACGTACCACTATTGCACATTCTGTAAATCCCACCACAGAAAGTGCGCTAACTGTGCAAACGGAACCGAATGCCACCCCGTACACCAACATATGTGAGCTCTGTACCTGTCGAGATGAGTCACTGTTGTGTGTTGGTCTCAGCCCAACGCAGAAGCTCCGCCGAGTGCCTGTGCCGAAGCCCAACACCTACAAGAAGGTCCTCACCACCCTGTAAGATCCACCTTTCCTCCCTTGTGCTCTGCACTCTGCCTGCATGGCAGCCTTTTCCTCAAGGTCTTCTGGGCCTTCCTCATCTCCCCAACCCACACGGACTGTCTGCTTTTACCTTTTGCTTATCAACTTTTCCTTGTCGGCATTCTCCTTCTACCGTGGTTCCCTTCCCTGTTCTTTAACTCGCAATTGCCCTTTCTCTTTTTCCTTATCCACTTTTATTCAGCTGCTTCATATCATTGCTGAACCTTTGCTCTCCCGGTTTTGTTCCACCCTCTTTACAACTCATTTCTTTAGTGAGGAGTGAGGATACAACAAAGTGATTAAGAATACATCTGGAACTAGACTACCTGGGTTTCATTTATTAACTTTGTAAGCCTGAGGAAATTATTTAGCTCTGTGACTCAGTTTCCTCATCTGTGAGATGGGAATTATGATAATTACCATTTCATAGGATTGTTGTATGATTTAGATGAATGAGTGCATGTAATACTTACCTGAATACCTAGCACATATATGAATGTTAACTATTAATAGTAATATTCAGTCCCTCAGTTATGTCCAAAACTCATCTTTGTCCTTAGATTTTCTATATATTGTGTCCATTTTGTGCCCAACCCAGGTCTAAGTTTTGTGGGAGTCACAGAATTATGGCATTGTCTCTGGAACATGAAAATGATAGATGTAAAGAAAGGAAAAAAAGGCAAAAAAGCGGAGATGGTATATAATGAAATGCTAAAAGAGAATCAGATACTAGCAGCTGTAATTCTTCAGAATCTGTAATCGCTGAGTTGTGGAGGTTATGGAAAACTGTAGGATAAACTGAAACGTTACCTGGAGCTTAGAGAGTAATTGTTAAATAGACAAAAAACATCCTAGGCAAAGGCGTAGCTGCAGCAGTAACCAGGCTTTAGTAGAACAGTCTGCCTGCAAAGAATTGGGTTAGGAAGCAATGAAAGATATTATAAAAGACCTTGAATATGAACTGTAGGGGTTTGAAAGTTACAGTGAAATGTGGAGAGTCACTAAATGTTTCCAAGGAAGAGCGGCAAATGATTAAAGCAGGCGGATTTGTTGTTTGGTTTGATTTTGGAGACAAGTCTTGCTATATATAGTCGAGGCTGTCCTGGAACTTGTTAAGTAGCTCAGGCTGGCCTTGAACTCACTCTCCTCCTACCTCAGCCTCCCAAGCACTGTAAACAAACCATGATTCAAGAGAATTATTTTACAATCCCTACTTAGGGTGATCTAGAGGGGAAAGGTTAATTCAAAGAGACTACCTAGAAATTGCTAGCAAAGTGGAGAGGTTAAGTACGAAGGGAGTAAGTCAGAGTTTGTGATGAGAATAGACAGAAAATCCTGGGATTCCCTACATAGAAAGTGCACAGAGGATTTAGTGACTGATGAAAGAGTTGGGGCTCGGACTAAAGAGTTGAGAAAAATCAAACATGACTCCATAGTTTCTGTCCTGTTAGGATATGGATACCATGTGGAAACACAGCATTCCAGAAGGAGAGCCAGTTGGAGGGAATTGAGTTCAGTTTTAGGTCCTTTTACTGGTAAGAAATTAGAAAGCTTGTGGTTGAGTGGAAATGTCCACTAGGCAGATGAGCTGGCTTCTTCTCTCCACCTCCAGAGAAAGTGTATGTAAACTGAATAGGAGAGTGTTGCTGAGGGGTAAGGACAGAATTAAAGGTAAATGTTCAGAGGTATCCAGAGTGAAACTGAACATAAGGTATTGAATAGCTTCTTTTTGGCAGAGGCTGGGGTTTGAACTCAGGGCTTCACGTGTGCAAAGCAGGCGCTCTACTGCTTGAGCCACATCTTCAGTCCATTTTACTCTTTTTATTTTGATGATGGGGTCTCATGAACTATTTGCCTGGGTTGGCTTTGAAACCATGATCCTCCTGATCTCAGCTTCCCAAGTAGCTAGTATTAAAGGCATGAGCCACTGGAGCCTGGTTTAACAGCTTCTTTTAATCATGTGTTACCCGAGGATACATTCCCACTTTTAAAAAAAGTCTCAGAAGCTGGTGTGGTGGCTCACATGTTTAATCCCGCCACTCCAGAGGCTGAAATAGGAGAGTCTGAACTTGGAGGCCAGTCTTGACTACATAGCAAGACTGTCTCCAAAATACAAATGGTCAGGGATGTAGCTCCGTGGTAGAGCACTTGCCTAGCATTTTCAGATTGCCTGTGTTCAATCCCCAGCACCTCTAAGGGTCAAAGAAGTATATAGGAAAAATATGAAAGTATGCAGCCCCTCTCATACCACTCTTCCATGCCTACCGCCCATAAGATAACCTCTGTTATACACCCCTGTGTGTCCTTCCTTCTTCTTTCTCTCCTTTGCAGTTTCTCCCTAATGAGGTAATACTTCCATTCTTTCTCAGATTTGTGCTTTCCCTTATTCAGCACAGCGCTTTCCACATCATCACATGAATTTCCCTCATTTCTACTTGTCCTCACCCTTCAGGGTTGCACTTCCTTCTTTCTATGTGCTCAACCTTCCTAAGATCATTTAGGCAAAGCTTTGGTGTTACCTGGCAGAGTTTCTTTATTCTTATTTGCTAATAATGATAAAAATTATTGCCCATTGTCCTGTGAAATTATGTATCCTTTTCTCACTGATTGGTAGGAGTCAGTTTAAACACACATCATTTTGAGAAAAACACTTAAATCCAAAGTAATTGACTTGCATTATATATGTAAGAGATTGGGCAGTTGGGAGTTAAGCTTCTGATGAGAGGCCTCATCATTCATGCCACTCTTCCCACTTTATTTCTTTATTAATTGCAATCTGAAAAACTGGGAGTTCTGGACGTTAGAAAGCTGGTATGTTTTCCTGTATTTGAATATCCCCTCCCCCAGGTTGCAATGATTCTTTCACTTATTCTGCTCATTATTTTCCTACTTATTCAAGGTTATAAACTGTCTCTTCACAGAAATTTCCATGGAAACGCTATTGATTACATTGATAAAAATACATGGAAAGCCTATCGTTGGACTGAGAAACTGTGAGTATTTTCTTTCCAAATATGAATACAAAAACTGCATTGTAAGAGCCTCCTTGGTTCAGAATTTTGAGGTCAGTATCTCTGAGAAATGTATTTCCCCTCCACATCCTACATTGACCTCTATTGATGGAAATTATGTAGTTATTTTAAACATCAAATTTTATAGGGACTGGGGGTTATAGCTCAGTGGTAGAGCACTTGTCTTTCATGTTAGCCAAAATGAAAATAAAATACAAACTTTCATGGTTCCTCTTTGAAATAAGAAACAATTTAAATTGATTTTCCATTGTACAAATGAAATAACAGGTACAGTGAAAACCCTCCTTCTCATAATCCCCCACTATTGAGGTAATGACTACTCTGAATTTGTTACCTATCCTTCCATATCTTTTCCCATGCATATATACATATTTACACACAGCAGATTATTTTGTGTGATTTTCATATCTCTTTTTACATAAATGCTAACATCCTGCCTCTTGATCTTTCTCTTCACTATGTCATGTCTCTTTCCTTCCCTGTACATAGAAGTTTCCCTATTAATTTAAACTCCTGCACAATATTCCATAGTACGGACACATCATAGTTCATTTCATAATCCCTTATTTTTTTTAGAGCACGTCAGGTTCTCCTGTTGCACTCATAGCTACAGTGAACAACCCTGTACATACTTCTTTGTGAGCATGGACAAGTATTGCTGTACAATAGGGATCTAGGAATGGGATGGTTAAGGTGAAGACTATTATAGACAGGGAATTTTAATTGCCCTCCAAAAAGTGGTGCCAACTTACACACCAGGGAACAGAATATGACAGTACCCATTTCCCCATACCTTTCATCACTCGATACTCTCTCTCTTTTTGATGAATTTTGATCCAGCGATAACCTTTCATCTTCCAGAATTCTCAGTGAAAATCGCCTGACTGAATTACGTAAGGATTCATTTGAAGGCCTGCTGTCCCTCGAGTATTTGTAAGTTAGTCAGTTGATCATATTTATTTGTGAGTTACTATCTATGAAATGTATAAAGGGTTCAAATGAGATAATTTCTGAAATCTCCAGCAAAAAAAATTCTGCACTTGTGTAAGTCTGTGTGGGTCTCAGACTATCTCTGGCATTAAATACTCCCTATACATTTTCAGATTTCTAAAAATTATATAGATAAGAGAGATGTAAAAACAAAATACTCCACTTACAGCAGAAAACGGGCAATAAGGCCTGAGCAATTATGGTGCTCATATGAACCTTATTTTATAAGTGTTCCTATGCCATATACTTCTTGTATTTATATTTAGTCTACAGCCCATGGGTCAAATCTAATCCACATGCTTTTGTGTAGCTCATAAGTTAAGAATTGGGTTTTTTGTTGTGTGTGTTGTTTTTCTTTTTACTTTTTAAGGAGCTTATTAGAGTCACTTTTTTGGTCACTGTAACCAAATGCCTGGTAAAGGAGCAAAGACACATTTTGGCTCAGTTGAGTGGTTTCGGTCTGTACCTGCACTCTCCATTGTTTCGGGGCCTCTGGGAGGCAAAGGTGTGGAGGACAAGGCTGCTAACCTCACGGCAGCCAGGAAGCAGCAAGAGGGAAGAAAGAGGGTCTTGGTCAAAGGCATGCTCCTAGCGACCTGCGCCTTCCACCTTAGCCTCACTTTCTAATCGCTCATTCAGCTGTGAGCTTCTCAGTGGGTGAATCCATCAATGAAGTCAGTGTCCTGATGATTCAGTCACCTCTCACACCACCTGTTGGTGACCAAGTCTTTAACATGTGAGCCATTTGGGGGGGCACTTCATATCCAAACTTAGAAGGGTTATAAAAAAAAAGAAGAAGAGAACTCAGGACCGTGCACTTATAGACAGGAACTCCACCACTTGAGCATGACTCTAGCCCTTGTTATACCCATAATAAAAGTATCCCTCAAGATCTACAGTGAATGTTTTATTTATGAAAATCACGAAGGTGAGATTCTTAGGTGGGAGCAGGATTAGGGGGCTCTAGAAAGTTCAAATACAAATCCAAAGTTTAGAGTTTAGAAAAAATTATGTTTTCAATATTATTGAGTCTAAATTCTATCTATTCATGCTAATTAGATACCTAATAGCTAATCAATGCAATGTTTTCTTTTACTTTTCCTAGAGATTTATCCTGCAATAAAATACAGTATATTGAAAGACGGACATTTGAATCACTACCTTTTTTGAAATTCGTGTAAGTTACTTCATTATGCCTGGAATCTTGCTACTCATTTTGAAAGATAATTAAAATTTTGCTAGTAGAAAGTTACTAAAATTAATTAGCAGGTTCTTTAGTCTGCACCAAAGATGACAGTGAGAATCATTACAGGTCAGAGTGAACAGTCCAGAGCAGTGCTTCTCCATCAGTGTGACTTTACCCCCAGGTGACACCTGGCAGCTGTGGATATGCTATTGGCACCTAGTGGGCAGACAATAGGGATGCTACTGAATATCCTGCAATGGACACAGAATTGTCCATAAATGACAAATGTCAAAGAAATGTCCAAAATGTCAATAGCACTGAAGTTGTGAAACCCTGTTGTAGAGAAATAAAGATCACTTAACACAAGTAATCATTGAGCATTCACTCTTTTGTATCTAATGCACTGCATTTGTAAATGTTAAAGTATAAATCATAAGCCAGTATCATCCATAGTGAGATTCCTTTAAGGTATGTGAAAAGTATTGATGTTATAATTCATCATATGTAAGTTAGAGTCACTGCCAATGATAAGTGTTCTGAAAGAATATCTTTTTCCTCTCCTTCTTTGGCTTTTTTTTTTTTTGTAGAAATCTTGGTTGCAATTTAATCACTGAATTGAACTTTGGAACATTTCAAGCATGGCATGGAATGCAGTTTTTACACCAAGTGTAAGTGGAATAGAAGACAAACATGTTTCAAACTTATTTGTGTCTTAAAAAAAAAAACTCATAACATTACTGTTAGCTAGGTGTAAGCCCTGTACAAATTCTGTGAATAGTACGTCTTGATGCATTCCATTTTTTCAAATAAGGAAACTAACGTACAACAGGTAAGAGCCTTGTGTGACTTATATATGACATGCTCTGCTTTCCCTAGTACTGATCTTTGGCAGGGGCACTGGAGACATCATGCAAGTAACACTCAAATTGGCACAGTCATGGTCCCCCAGTGGTGCCGCTCTGATGTGTGAATGGTCCTTGAAGTTCCACTCACAAGCTGAACACTGATTCCTTCTCACATGCAGAGTTCCTAACTGCTTAAATGTTTGCAATGTATAGCTGCTTACAGAGCGCCAAGTTTAACACAGAATCCTCCAGCAAGCAAATGGGGGGGTGCTTTCTCAATGTCAGTTTCTTCTAAATGACAAATCAAAAGAATTCTAAAAACCTGCCATAGGGCACCTCTCCCTCAGAACATTATTTTTCAAGAAAAAGATGGTGCTGGCAGAGTGGCTCATATAATAAGAGCACCTGCCTAGCAAGTGTGAGGCCCTGAGTTCAAACCCTGGTCCCACCAAAAAAGAAAGAAAAAGATGGTGTTTGTATTAAGCTTTATGGTGAAAAATATTAATAGGAATATACACTGCTCTAGCCTGACTCCATATACCTTTTTTTTTCCTTACTACCTTCAACAAGAAATGTGGAGTTTAATATCTTTTCAGCTCAAAAATTCTATGATGTGCTGGGTGCCATAACCCATGCCTGTAATCCTAGCTACTCACTCACAAGCATAAATGGGATGATCACAGTACAGTTCATGCCTGGGCATAAACATGAGACCTCATTGGAAAAATAACTAAAGTAAAAAGGGTTGGGGATGTGGCTCAAGTAGTAGAGCACCTGCCTAGCAAGCACAAGGCCCTGAGTTCAATCCCCACTACCAAAAAAATAATAACAGTAAAAGTTTAAAAACTCTATGCTGTTCACAAGCACACATTTGTAATCCCAGCACTTGCGAGGCCTAGGCAGAAGGATCTCAAGTTCAAGGCTACCCTGGACTACATAGGAAGACCCTGTTTAAAAAAACAAAAAAAGCAAAATAAAATAAAACCTGTGATGTTGAAGAGCCTGAAGGTCATCTGAGACTCGAGAAGGACAAATTTCACCTTGAGTCTCCAAACCCAACTTTGGGAAAGGTCATCCACCTGCCTCGTGCATCAGAAATCCAGGTTCCCAAGTTCCCTTCTGGTTGGAGGGAGGGTTGAGATTTGCCTGGAGGTGGATTAACTGCTCTTACAGATGGTCCTGTGTAGCAGCCTCCTTTATCCCTTCACTAATTTGCTGATGCCTATTTGGGGAAAGAACCCTAGGGGGTCTTTGCTTTCCAGTCAAAGTAGGGATGGGTATCCGGTTAGTTAAGACTCATAAAGGAGGATGCACCAACTTGTTATTTCTAGTTACTGTGTTACTTCAGAGGAAAAGACATTTGTTTCCTGGTGATGAGAAAACCAGAAGAGATAGGACATGGCTCAAATAGTACAGTGACTGCTTACCAAGCACAAGGCCCTGAGTTCAAATCCCAGTGTTGACTGGTATTAGATTTACCCCTGGGTGCCAGGTAATTACAACCCAGTAAATCTCTTGAGTAAAGCCTCCATGTTACTGAAAAACAATAACCCAACAAGTTAGCAACATGTTAGGGCCCAAATCCACCATAAAGGGGAGCCAAAAGCTCATTAGCAAACCACCATTCTTCGAATGGTCATAGTAATCCTATCTCTGTTTCAGATGAAATCAGGAATGAAACACAGAACACCAGTAGTGGTTAAGTGTAATTTTCCCCCAACTTTAAGGTGCTTCTCCTTCATTCTCCTACACAGGTCCAGACTGATAGCTTAGTTTTTAAAATTCTTTTAGTTGCTTCATTGGTTCTGACAACACAAGTGCCACTATTTTAGAAACTGAAGGATTCTACCAAGTAGAAAGGATATACCTTATTTGGATAGAGCATTTTCACAGGGCTTGTCTGCCTCTTCAGGATTGTGCCAAAAATGCAAAGCACTAAGAGAGACAAAGAGGGAAATCCAGGCTTTATTCCTGTTGAACTACTTGTTCCACCATAGAGAATATCCACAAGCAGGAGCGGCCACACTACGAAGGCAAACTGAGCTGCAGTCTCACAAACACCCTGTTGCTTCCTCCCAGACCGCTAGCATTGCTTCCTACAGATAGCTTAGGTGCCTAAAAATTGGCACGCTTCAGGCTGCGGTCATCGCTTTTGATTTGTACTGGAATCCCGGCAGCTTCTCAGGTTGAGAGAGGGCAAATCACTAAAGATGAAAATAACAGCTCGGGTCTGTCCTTTGGGATGATTTAGGTTGGTTGCTTAATTTGTAAATGTTCAAAAGTTTTGAATAATCAATTGTTCCAAATAAGGAATATCCTTTTCCCCGGCAGACCCTTCAGTTTCTAAAGTCACGGAGCTTGTTGTTACACACACACACATAAGTGGCATGGGGCATTACCTGTCTTCTGGCTACTTCCTGCTGGCTAGGGGCAATGTGGGGGGTTATTGAGTCTGGAAAGTTTGTAGAAGCATGATGGCCTTGAACTGCTCCCCTGAGATAGCCCGAGAAATGGCAGTAATACATTCCTGTAACAGTTTTTGGAGGGTACTAATGAGGCATGGTAGGAACATTACAGCCAGACAGACAAGAATGAGAGAGGGACCACCAGCAGGATTAGCCATAGGTACAAGGAGGAAAGAATATTAGTAGGCTGTACGGATGTTAGCTGTTGTGCTCTGTCCCTGAGTTTTTTTTTTTTTTTATCCTGTCCTAACTATGCCAGACTTACTGGTGAAAAACAACAATCCTCGTTTAGGAAGAGGCATAGCCTGCCTTTTTCAGCTGTGAGGAGATCTAATCCCCTCCTGTTTTGAAGGCAAGGTCACAATGGGAAAAATAAGGAGTCCCAGTAGAGGGAAGACCCGTGGCATCCACTTAGCCCAGGAAGACCACTGTTCCCAGCTGTCTGTTGTTCACTGTTGGAGATTGGCATTGAGTTCCTGACGTAAAAGCAGCATCCTTTGTGCGTGGTCTGAGTGGTAGCCTGTCTAAAGAAATGTACCCTTTGGGAGACGAAGTGAGCCTTGACACATGGGCCAGCTATCAGCATGAGAAGGAAAACCAAGGGACCTTGGGTACAGACCTTGGCTATAAGTTTAAGTAGGCAAAGGAACTGGGGGCAGGGACAAAGGTATATATGTAAACGGTTCCAGTCACAGGTGTGGCCTGGTTGGTCATTACCTCAGTCTTTGTTTTGGGAGAGGTTCCAGAGTTGTTATCTGGAGGGTAGAAGCAGTTTAGGTCTAAAACTAGAAAACCTGCTTCGAATGCAGAGGAAGTAAAAGTCAGAATGCTCCAGTTAAACAGACTGCCTAAGGGAAGATAACTCCATGAGCATGGCTACTAAAAAGATAAGTTTGGAGCCAGCAAAAATAATGTCTTTTTACCTAAAATGAAGGCCTTGGCCAAAAATATGAGTTTGCCTTCTGTCAGAGGTGCTGCAAAGGCTTGAGTGAAAGGCCAGTAGCCCTGCATAAGATCTTTAAAACCTCTCAGCTTTAGTAACTTTTGTGAGGCCTGGCACAGGGGAGTCCATCCGGATTGTGAAGCTTTTCCCTCTCGTCTCCAAACTCTCTCTGAAGAGAGTTAATTAATCTCTCTGAAGATTTTGTTAATTAACCATCTGGTTAATGAGAGTCACTTGGTGCAGGAATACCTTCTCCTGGATGTTCTCGGCATTGGAGGGGAAGCTTCAGGCAGGTCAGGTGGGAATCAGTGCCAGATAAGACCCATTTGCCCAAACAATAAGAAACAAAAGAGGTTTAGAAGAAATGGGCCTACCTGGCATTCATTTTTAGTTCTGCTTGGACTATAGATGATATCCTGACAACTTAAAAATGCTGCAGAATGTTAACAGACAATAGTTAAAGATTTTGAAAAAAAAAGCCAGCAAAAGTAAATATCTAGAAGGCTGACTCAATTGAAAAATAGGTACTAGGTAGAGTTATTTTGGGTTTGATTGCAAATGCTCTGAGGGACCCAGACTGAGAATGACAAGACTTAGAATAGCCATAGTTAAAATGCTGAAAAATAGTTTGGGAATTGTCAGAACATTTAGTTATTTCCATTGTGGACCACATTTTTAGGAAAATAATTATGACTGATAGTATAAAAACATCAGCACTAAATGCTCTTTGTTACAGTTAGGAACATATGGACACAAGCTTGCAAAAGTCTAGCATCCTTAACTTTAGATCTCTTACAAGTTAGGGGGACAATGCCTGTGATCCCAAATAGCCTTATTTTCTAATGTACAAGTATATTTCATACATACACAGTAACACTTACTTGACTAAAACTAATATAGGCCAGGTTCTAAGTAGTAGGACTGCCCAAATAGAAAGGTTTTGCTGACTGTTACTGATAACAAACAGCACACCTGCCAAAAGTTTCATTAACCATTTTCTATGTCAAAGGTTTCGATGTAACGCTTTTGGATAAAGAACTTTGGCTGTTTAGTTAAATTTAATGCTTTTTGATATAAGAGAGCTTTAGCTCATCATTTTACATAAATTGACACTTTTAACTTTGCAAATGTTTGTACAATACTTAAAGTCTAGACACAGAACACAGTAATAAGGTGATCATGTAAGAGCCCTTTGCATGAGCAAATACGTAAATGAACTCTGATTTAGTAGTACTTAAAGCTTGATAAAATCTTTCCTTATAACAATTTTTTGCAGATGTTACTCAGAGCAGAAAAATATTAAGATAGCCTTGTTTTATGGGCATAGAGAATTAGATTTTAGTTTGACATGAACCTAGAAAATCTTTTAGGCAACTCTTAGATTATAGTCAACTTGTAACTTCATCACATACCGAAGCTTTTATTATACACTTTTAAGACTTACTCAGAACCTTCATATAACATTCTGAAACTTCTGATGGTTTGTCCTTACCCCTCTTCTCCATATTTGGAACAATCTTTAAGACAAACTCTTCTTTACAAAATACTTTTTCATCCAAAAGCTTTCTTTCCCTTTAACTTTTCCCCAAACATATACTCAATACCTATCTATATCCTTTCTACTTGTTGACTTTGTAACTTGTATTTAAAAATAACTTTTATAAGAATTTTAAATTTAAATAAAATTGTTTTTTTAATTAGCCTTATATTTTTACTGTATAGACCCATATATACAGGCAATTTTAAACTGTTTTTATGCAATAAGTAATTTATAAACATACCATTTCTTAATAAATCTAATTATAAAAAAATTGAATATAAATTACACTTATGATGGAATAAAACAGATTAAGGTTACTGTCCATAAAATAATGCCTATAATTTAGACAGATCTGATTGACATAACCTTTGAAAAACTGGTTTTTCTTAAAAGTAGCAGCAGAAGAGGTGGAGGAAAGAAGAGAACAGAAGCCTTTCATTTCTTTACATTAACTCTATAATAAGAATCATCCTAAAGATGTTTAAACACACACATAGTAAAAAAAAAGTTTTAAGTTAGGCATGCCATACATGTCAATTTAAGCACATGTATATTCAAGAGTTCAAGAACATATAAAAATTAAGTGGCCACAAGTACACTGATTAGTTATTTTAAAAAAATTTTCGGAGCAGATTGAGATGTGTCCCATTTTGTTCTTTTAGGACTCGTTTTGGGCAACTTAACACCTGTGGCAAGAGTCAATTCTAGGAAAGTGTTTTGAGTCAGTCTCAGTCTCCAATAAGAAGACTGTTGTCATAGCTATCAAACTTTTGTCTCTAATAAGTTAATCATACAATAGCCATACACAAAATTTACACAATGAAACATAAAACAATTACATTAATTTCAAGTGCACTCTTAGATATGGAAGGCTTTAGATCTACCTCTAGGGGTGTTTTTAATAATTTTTAAGAATAGTTTGCCTTGGGCTACAGTAACTTTGTTATAAGACAAATCTTTAAAATAAATTTAGGGAGCCTAGTCTTGTAGTGTTGGCATTCCATATCCTTGTCAGGACAAAGGATACAGGATGCATGAGGGGATATACAAGTCCATCCTCTTATTTTATACTAAGAATTTTGTTTTTAAATTAGAATTTGTATGACAGGCTGGAAAATGGGCAGAGGCAAAGTAAAAAGGATTACCTCTCCAGTGAAACTGGTGATAGTAAGCATGGAAAAGGTAGAATGAATTAGCCCCTCAAGAGTTAATATTTAGGTAAGGCAACTCATGAAAAATCCAAATGCCTTATTGAATCTGTAGCAGAACTCAGGAAGGCTGCCCTTTTGTCTTTTAGTTCATGCCATAATCTAGAAAACAGATTTTAATTTTTATTTTAAATACATGGGGCATTTTAGATAGAGAACTGAAATTCTGTCATTGGTTTTTCCATCCTGTGCCTACATGAGGCTGAGGTCATGGGTCCATCATCCCAACTGTATTGTGCCTTGGCCAGGACAGCAAACGGGCCAGCCCATGGTCGCTACCTGCAGTGACCTGGATATGACCTGATCCCTTCCTGGTCTTGACATGTCTGCAGTGGGAAAACCACCCACCATAAAACAAGACTTAAAGGAGAAAACTGTTAGTAGAGTGTTTAGGCAGACTTAGAGGCTTAGTCTTAGGTGAAAAACCAGGAGGCCAGTACAGAAAAGTAGCTCCAATCATTGGCCACATGTCATTTAGATTTCCAATTGATTTTATGTTTGTAGTCCTGGGACCATATGAGTCACTCGGGGTGCAGAAAGAACTGACAATGTGACTTGAGCAGGACTTTTCTTTCCCTTTCTCCCTGTCCATTTCTGTCTCTACTGTCCTCATCTGTGTAAGGTACTGCCGAATTAAGACCACACCACATGTGGAAAGGAAAGGTTTATTGGTCCAGACTGCAGGGCCATCACTCTTGGGTTCAGAGTGAGGTGGCTTGGCTAAATTGGGTAGTGGGCTTTATAGGAGGGTCCGAGCCATGGGGGAGGGAGAGAGAGTCTCTGGTCTCTGATTATCTGCGATCACCAGATGAAACAGGTCGACTGCCTGGCTAGTTGAGTAACTGGAAGTTCCTGAGTTGTTTTGCAAGCTGAGAAACAATCAGGCAGGGAGAAACAAGCAGTCATAAATCGGGGTCTGGTTTTAAGGTGTAGCCTCGGGTCCTTCCACCCACCCCAAGAATGCCAGGGACCTAACAATCTGTATGGCCAGTCCAAGAGAGGAGACAGGAGCTGGACATGGAGTAGGAGGAGTGAAAGTAACCTCCATAATGGCTGAGACAAATTTAGAGAAAACTTTTAAAGTTATACATTGTTTATATCTTGTGAAATGAGAAAAAAGGAAAGGATGACATAAAGCTAGGTTGAAGCCAGAGGAGACGGTTTTTGATGGTGATGTAGCTGTGGATGGTAAGGTGTTGGGTGCAAATCCAGCCATGGAAGATGGTCTCTGGTGGACCTGTCAAAGAAAGGAAAGGGTGGAACAGCGGTGAAAAAAAGGAGAGAGGCAGTGGGAACTGGGGAGGAAGACTCCAGCCTCCATTCAGTGCCTGAGAGTGAACCTGGGAAGAGCTGCTGCTGTCCACTGCTTTTCAGGTTGTAACAGCAGAGAGCTAGAGTCAAACCTACAAGCTCCAGCAGTTTGAACAAAGGGAGGGTCGGACTTGAGATAAAAGAAAGCCTAAAGAGACCTCTTGCCATTTGCTGTTTCTCACAATAAAGTTGTCGAGGTCTCGGAGGACATTGGGATTAAAATTTTAAATTTGGGCCATTTAGAGGAATTGTCTAATTTGTATTGAAGTCAAATTTAGAAAAACAGATGAGGATTTTTCATTTTAGATTGCCCTTTAGGCTCAGTTTGGTAAAATTGTATAAAAGACACCCCAGGGGGAGTCAGAGGAAATCTTTGAGTGGGTATTACCCATGGCTGCGGTTAGGAAGTTTTCCCTAGGATGTCCCCCAGAGAAAACTTGCAAAACTGGAAAAACGAACCTGGGGCCACAGAGTAACCAGGGCCAGACTCACCAGGAGCCAAGTTGGCTGGAAGGTGAGAGGGAGAAATAGGAATACCGAAGGGGAGAATGGCCAGACTGACACACTGAGGTGCCACACAGCCCATCCCTGTAGAAATCAGAGCCGGTGTTGAGAGTGTGGAGTGGAATCCGCAAAGGGCCCTGCAGGAGGTCTCAGAGGAATGAGAAGTTAGGAGCGTATGTATGACTAAAAGGTCAGGCCCCACAGTAGTGTGGCAGAAAATATAGTAGTGTTAGCATCATATAGAGGATAGTGAGGTGGGAAAGGAGAGGAAGGGAGAAAGAGAGAGGTTAGACAGTTTTGGGGATAGAGGTGGGCACCAGCTGCACACCTCAAGGGAACTTAGCCATCTCTTGGCCTTTGTGTGTCTCTTTCAAGTCCGGACCAGATTCCCCACGGGGGTGCATCATTGACCTTATGAGGATCACCATGAAATCACAGTAGCCCCGAAAGGGTGTCCCTCCCCACATCCCTGCTCAAAACTCTCCTGGGTTTCAGCACCAAATGAAAGAAAAGTGGAAGCTGGAGGTGTGGCTTAAGTGGTAGAGTGCTAGCCTATGAAAGAAAAGTGAAGAAGCTGAAAAGAGACACACTGAGAAAGCATCTGTGACCTTCATAAGCATCAGGTCTTTATTAGGGAGACGAGACCTGAGAGGGGCAAGAGAGCACGCCTTTCTTACAGCCTGGGGATTTTAAACATCCTGTGGGGTGGGGAAATGGAGGTTGGAGGGGGATGGGCATTAGGTAAGATGGTTGGGAAGGAGGATGGGGGGAGGTGCTGGACATTAGTGGGAAGGTCATTGGGGTTGGGGACTTATGCGTGTTATGTTTCAGTGTTTCTCTGCATTCCAGCAGTTATGTTCTTACTTCATCATTTTCACTAGTGTCACCATGTGCCATGATTTTAAATCACAGGGAAAAGGGAATAAAAAAACTATAATGCTCATCGAGGCTTTCCCGTATGAGGTTAAAAATTTACTTGTAATCAATTTTTGTATAGGTAATATACTCTAAAAGTTGTTAAAAAAAGTTATTTCTATATTAAGCCCTCTCAAAATTAAGTTTAAGGTACAGCTATCTTGAGCCCCTTTTTTCATAAAGGTTAAACACAGGCTTTGGAATCAGAACTGAGTTCAAATTCCAGCTTTGCCTCTTACTTGCTTGGTGACCTAAGACAAGTTACATAACCAATCTGTGCCTCAGTTTCCTCTTTTGTAAATGGGGTAATGACAACATCTACCTCACAAGATTATTGTGATGATTAAGTGTGAAATGATGATAACAGATGCCTGGCAGCCCAATGGAAACTAGCTGTAATAGTCATTTGTGTGCTCCACAGAAGTTACACTAAAGATTCTTGGTTAGAGTTAACCTAAAGGCAGGTTTTCTTTTCTTCCTATTTCTTTCTTTACTTTTTGTTTTTGTTTGCTTGACTTAAACAATTGAAAAGAAAACCTATCCAGCCTTTTGAAGTAAAAATTTATATCAAAAGTGAATTTATGCCAGGCACGGTGACATGTGCCTGTAGTCAGTTAATGAGAGGCTGATGTAAGAGGACTGCTGGAGCCCAGGAGTTCAAAGCCAGCCTGGGCTACATAGCAAGGCCCTGTATCAAAGGAGAGAGACAGGGAGAGGGGGAGGGAGAAGGGGAGGAAGGGAAAGGGAGAGAATAAGTTTATTCATCTCACTGATATGTAAACAGAATGATATTTATTTATGCAGCAAACATTTGTTAAATAACTGGTAAATTTCAGGCTCTATGCCAGGCACAGGGATGATAAGAACAATAAAGTGTGGTCCCTGCCTTAACCTGCTGATAGTCTGGGTGATTGACAGGTGACAAGTGATTAATTACCTGCAGTATAACAAAGGCTGTGATGTGACAGAAGAATACAAGTAAGAGTATGGGATGGGAGCATGGGTTTAACGGGTTCAAATCATAAATTGGTCCTATTTTTTCCTTAATTGAGTGAATTAGATCATGAATTGTTTCACATTCTAAATTGAAAGATGAGCAACCTCGTGAATTATGGAGGACCTAAAATACACTGTTTCCTACAGGGCAGGGCTCCCTACCAGTGTGGTCACTTTGAGAGTTTTTGACCTGAATGTTCTTTGGCATGTTTTTTTCCCTACTTTTCCTCCTCTTTCTTTTCTCCACTTTATTTTTTGGAGACCTGGGTAGATCCCAAAAGAAGGATGCTTATGGATTCTAAAAGTAATTTGTAGGTAAAGACAAAAAATGATTTTTAACCCATAATTTTCATACAAAAATGAATACAAACTTTTCCTGTAGTCTCATCCATACTGAAAATGACCATTTTAGTTCCATTGCATTTTTCAGAATTCTCAGTCGTAATCCTCTGACAACTGTTGAAGATTCCCATCTTTTTAAATTGCCAGCATTAAAGTATCTGTAAGTATTGCAATAATTTTTATGAGTCATGAGATGATTTGTGTTTTTGTTTACTTTCATCAAAGGTTAAGCTGTCATTTTAGTTTTAACTAGGTAATTGAAAAAATGTTATTGGCAAAGGAAAGGATTAAAATGAACAAGACAGCCAGCCAGGGAAGAACACATAGAGATACTCAACATGTAAACACAGGTAGAAATATCATTTATTCCTCAAAGCAAAGAGTAAAGGATAGGAGTGAAAGCAACATGAAAATGAGAAGGAAGATAATGGTTAGAAAAAAGACTTAGGCTCTGGTCAGTGCCAAAGTCATTAATTTGATGATGCAAACAGTAAACTTAAATTTCTTCAATAAGAGTAATTATCTTAAAAAAAAATAAGAGTAATTATCTTATGTGACAAGGTCGTGAAATGGCTTGTTTCATGGGGAAGTCAAACCTGAACTAATAACATTTCCTTGAAAGGTCTTTTTAAGTACACACTGTCTGTGTTGGGGTTCATCATGAATGTGGGCTTTTCTCCCTCAGGGACCTGGGAAAAACACAAGTGCGACTTGCGACACTTGAGAACATCCTCCTGATGACTCTTAAGTTGGAAAAACTGTAAGTTAGTTTTTCTTAGATTTATGTATCGCTTTAGTTTTCTTTGGCTTGATTAATGTCTTAAATCAGGCTTCTTGAGATGCCATTTCCATGTAATAAAATTCACACTTTTTTTTTTTTTTTTTACGGGACTGGGTTTGAACTCAGGACTGCACTTGTTAGGCAGGTGCTCTACCACTTGAGACAAACCTCCCGAATTCACACTTTATACGTCTACAGTTTGATGGTTTTGCATGGCTATGTAATCATGACCCATTCCTGATGTTGAATGACCTTGTCATCCCCAAAATCCCCTCATATCCTTTTGGAGTCAGTCTACTCCTCCCACTGGTAGTCCCTGGCAACCATCAAACTTTTTTTTTTTTTTTTTTGGTGGTACTGGGGTTTGAACTCAGGGCCTACACCTTGAGCCACTCCACCAGCCCTTTTTTGTGATAGGTTTTTCCAGATAGAGTTTCACAAAGTATTTGCCCAGGCTGGCTTCAAACCACGAACCTCCTGATCTCTGCATCCTGATTAGCTAGGATTACACCTGACTTTTTGAGCGTTTTATAAATGGAATCATATAGTACTTTGTGTTTGGCTTCTTTTACTTAGCATATTCCACTGGCAGTGTATGAGAGTTATACTTGCTCCACATTTTCACCTGATCCTGATATTTCAATTTCTTTCTTAAATTTTAGCCTTTTTTTACTAGTAGGTGTGTAGAGGTGTCTCATTGTCGTCTTCATTTCCATTTCTTTAATAGCTGATAGATAAGGTTGACTGCATTTATGGGCAACTGTCTGCTTTACAGAAGTGTCTGCTCAAATCTGCTCTCATGTTTTAGTTGGATATTTATCTCCTTCTTTCTGAGCTTTAAGAGTGCTTTACATACTCTGGATCCAGGTCCTTTCTCTCAGATATGTGCTTAGTAAATATCTTCTCTCTGGTTGTGGCTCGTCTTTTCACTCCACTGTCTTCTGAAGAGCAGATGTTTTAAATATTTAAATTTTGATGAACTCTAATGTAGGAAGTTTTTCTTGTATGGTTTGTATTTATGTGTGTATGTGTGTCTTACCTACGAAATCTTTGTCTAAGAACTTGTCACTGGGCAAGGTGGCTCACACCTGTAATCCAACATACTTGGGAGGCTGAGAATAGGAGGACAAAGGTTCAAGGCCAGTCTGGGCAAAAATGTAGTGAGAACTCATCCCAATGAGTTCATACCAAGCCAGGTATGGTGATACATTTCCATAATCCTAGCTACAGCAGAGGCTGTATATAGAAGGATCAAGGTCTCAGGCTAGCCCCAGGCAAAAACATGAGACTCTGTCTGAAAAATAACTACAGCAAGGCCAGGTGTGGTAGCTCACATCTGCAATACTAGTTACTTGATGTTAGAAATATCTTTAAGATATCAGGATATCAGGAGAGACAGATGACACAACTCAGAAGTCAACCAACAAGGCAAAATTTACTTCTGCAGAAGGGTGGGCCATAGACAAAGAGCAAGTACAACCAGCAGGGTTTTATCTCTAATGCAATGCTGCCCCTCCCCTGAATTGGGCAGATTTTGGGGGTCACAGTCTATGCAGTTGGCTAATTTGAAAGAGGACATTGGGATGGGCTGTTGAAGAAAAGTTTAAAAGCTCTAGGAAGCAATAACTGTTTTAGGTTATCAGCTCTGGAACCAGGGGATCTAGTGGAATTTTGTCCAGCTGAGGATAACCACTTTTGTTCTTAATAGAAACTTTTATCATATTAAGTAGCATCCATGAAGCAAGTGTATGGGAAGCAAGTTAGTGAGACTAACATTTGTAACAGCAGGGGTTACTGATTAAATCCTTTGACAGAAAAGACCCAACCTAAGCTGATTCTCACACTTGAGAGTCTGAATTTGGGAGGATCATGCTTCAAGGCCACCCTGGGCAAACAGTTCATGAGACCCCTATCTCCAAAACAACTGGAGCAAAATGGAATGGAGGTCTAAGCAGTAGAGTGCCTGCTTTGCAAATGTGAAGCCCTGAGTTCAAACCCCAATCACACACACACACACACACACACACACACACACACACACACACACACACACACACACACACAAGGGCTGGGGGCATGGCTCAAGTGGTTGAGTTAGAAACCATAGTACCAGAGGTGCAGCTCAAGTGCTAGAGCACCTGCTTCTAAGTGCAAAGCCCTGAGTTCAAACCCCAGTCCAATCCCAAAACAAAACAAAAACAAAATTAAAATAAAAAACCCATAGTACCTACAAAACTGTTAAAAATGAGAGGGGAGGGGGCTGAGAAAGAGTAAAATAGATGATCAAAGAACTTTACATGCCTGTTGTAAATATCACAACAAAAGCCCTTTGTACAATTAATTTATGCTAGTAAAAATTAAATTAAAAAAACCACAGTAGCAACCAAAAAAAATCTTTGTGTAAGCCCATCATAAGATTTTCTCCTATGTTTCCTCTCAGAAATTACAGTTACATTTAGGTCTATGATCCATTTTATTTTTTTTGGAAGTTTTGAAAAATATTCTGTAGGGTCTATCACGACATACCACTTACAACAGCTTAAATTGTGACACCTTCCCTCCAATATGGCAAGCTAAGTAGAAATTTATGTGCTCAAGGTTAGTATGGAAAAGGCCCTTCATTTAGCCCTCTGCTCTGATCATTTCCTTACTGAAATCGCCACGATATCAAATCTGTTGGTTTCTGCTCCAGTCTTATCATCCTCAACCTCTCAGAGCATCTGCCAGTTGATCCCCCACTATCAGGGAGATGCCTTCCTTTGGATAGCAGAGTCCTCATCACTAACCAGGCTTCTTAGTTACACAAGGTAGTGGTGTTCTCCCTTGTCCTTCCTCCCTCCTTTCTCTTCCCTTCCTTCCCTCCCATCTTCCTTCCTATTTCTCTTTTTTTCTTCTCTTTTGAGACAGGGTCTTGCTATGTAACCCAGGCTGCCCTTTTTTTTTTTTTTTTTTTTTTTTGTGCTGCGTGGGGGTACATTGTGGGATTTACAAAACTTCTTACCATGTATCAAATATATCATACTTGAATTCACCCCCTCCACTGTTCTCCTCCCCCCAGGCTGCCCTTCAATTTGCACTCCTCCTGCCTCTGTCTCCTGAGTGCTGAGATTACAGGAGGCCATCATCATGCCCTGCTGCTTTTTTCTTAGATGGAAAAACACTGCCATTCTCTGTGGCCATTTTCACTCTTTAAGTTTTCTACATACCTCATGCACATTTATAAGAACTGTTTTCATGTGCTCATGCTAACATACATGTAAGTCTTGGGTTGGTTATGACTTTTTCCCCCGCAATATGGGTCATATTTTCTTGCTTCTTAATAATTTTTGGATTCCACACATTGTGAATTTGAGTTTGTTGTGTACTGTATATTTTGATATTCCTATAAGTATGCTTGATCATATTTCAGGTGAGGTTATGTTACTCAAAAACAATTTTACCATATAGGTCCTAACTTTGAAGATTTGTAAAGGGGGACCACAAAGTAACCTTAATCCAGAGTACATTATTGACAAGTACTAAGGCAAGACCTTTGAGTACCCAGTGCACCATGATCATGAGGCTTTCCAGTCTGCCCTGTAGGAGCAGGCAGTATTGCTAGCCCTGTGCCATATCCTCTAATCTGTTTGGTGGTTCTTTTCCTGGCCTTGAGTAGTTTCCTCAGACACATGCTCTGATTAGTACTTTGCTGTATATTCCCAACCATCCTTCGACACGGCTCCAGAGTTCTTTCTCTGTGTGACTCTTTCTCCTCTGGTATTGTGCTCTAAATTATAGTCACCTTGGTTCACCTGGACTCTCAAGTTCCATTTCCTTTATTTATTTATTTTTGCCAGTACCGGGGCTTGAACTCAGGGCCTCACACTTGCAAGGCAGACTCTCTCCCACTTGAGCCACTCCGCCAGCCTCAAGTCCATTTCCTTAACTAGGGAGATCATGGGTCGCTGCTTGTGTCCTTCCCTACCTTGTAACCTGGAAGCTCTCTCAAAGCGGCAAGCTAGTGTTAGTCAGCTTTGCATCACTATGACAAAATACCTGAGAAAACAACTTAGAAGAGGAAAGGATTTATTTTTTCGGAGAGGGGGCTCTCAGTTTACGAGGTTTTTGTCTGTGGCTATTGCTGTGGGTCTGTGAGGAAGAACAAATGGTAGTGGGAGCCTGAGACAGAGGCTGCTCACTTAATGGGCAGCTAAGAAAGAGAGTGAGAGAGGGTCCAGGGAGAAAATATACACTTCAAAGACAGGCCCCTGTGACCTACTTCCTCCACCTAGACCCCATTTCCTAGGAGCCCAATTCAGCTATCCGCTTATAAATGGATTAATCCATTAATGAGGTTAACACCCTTCAACACCACCCTATGGGTTATTCCTCATAAGGAAACTTTTTATTGATGTTTTGTTGTTGTTGTTGTTGTTTTGGGTGGAAGGTTAAGTTGGTTCCTGTCACTCCATCTTGGCTATAAGCCAATAATATTCTTTAAGTCTGTTTTGTTTTTATTCAGGGGTAGTCATAGACCAGATGTTGTTTCCTTTAGTCTAAAACATTTGATCACCTTTTTTTCTTTTGCCTCTCATGACATCAGTACATTTAAACAGTCTGAGACAGTTGTCTTGTAAACTGTCCCACACTCTGGATTTGTCTTTTCCCCAGAACTAAATTCAGGTGAAACCTTTGATATGCCACGTGATTTCAGGTGACCCATGATGCTCTTTAATCACGTGATTAAAGTGGCATCTTCAAGATTTCCAAGTTATTGCTTGATAATTACTAAATAACCAGTGGAGTAGCAATTTGAGATCAGTGAAGATGCTACCCTCAAACATCTTTTCACCCCGCTGTGCATCAATGAGAGTCCTGTTCAAACCAGTTATAATTCGCTTTTCTAATCCTATCACTCCTTCTACATTTATTAGCTTGCACTATTGTGCAGTCCTCACCACACATACCTGTTTTTTTTGAGTATCGCTATGGGTACAGGATTCTTCTTATTTATGTCGTACCTTATTATCATCTTTACAGTTCTTTGATGCTGACATTAAAGCCAGTGGACAAGCCCTCTACAGGGCTGAGCTGCAGCCTAGCCCTGTTTTTTGTGTGCTTAAATTGCCCAGATTTGCACAATATGATCTGTTGCTTTCTAACAACACAATATGGATTAAGCTATGCTGTTTATAATACCTATAATAATTTCTAACATTTGCCACTCAGTGGGAATTGAGAAAGTGACTCCATAAGTTGGGAGCTTATCATAGAAGTCTGCCTCATTCCTGTGCACTCCCAACCCAGAGTGAGACTTGAGTTGAGAGGAGATGCTTCTGGTTGATACTACAGATCAATGTCACTCAATTCTAATCCTTAGCACTCTATTTGAGGCATATGACACCCACTGCCATGCTGATCCTTCATTTGGGCACCTGTCTTCCTTCCCATTTATTTTCAATATTCAAGAGCAGCAGTTTATCTTTGGGCTTCTACCAACCTGTCCAGGTCGTGCTGCTTCAAGAGTTCTTTCTACACAGCCCTGTGGTAGCCTTGGCCTGCCTCTTCTACCCCTCAGTAACTGTTTCCATTAACTTAATTATCTGTGTTTCCATTTATAGGATCTTACCTCGGCATATGGCCTGCTGCCTCTGCCAATTTAAATATAATATTGAACTTGTCTGCAAGACAGTCAAGCTGCATTGTGACAATGAATGTCTGACAAACACCATACATTGTGGTGAGTCTGTTGTTATATGAAAAATGTTTTAATTTTAATGTTCAGTTTTTAAGTAATGATCATAAGTTTTTTATTTATTTATTTTTCTTATTCATATGTGCATACAAGGCTTGGGTCATTTCTAAATTTTTTAAACTAATAATGTAATTGCTTTAATTTTATTCATTTACCCAGAGTTAAACTCCCTACATTTCTGAACTGCTTCAGTGCCCAATGTCAGGTTCTTAGTTATCACATAATTTATAATATAACTCTTCCATATGGACAAGGACCTAGAAGAGGCAGGGAATGATATTAATGGTCACACACTGTACCGTGCTCTCTGCTTGGTGCTTTGACATCCAGTGATCCCTTATTCATATAGTGTCATGTAGTTTGTAAGTTCCTTTTGTAAGTGTTAGTTACAAAATCAGAGTGCTCTCTGATTTCTAGGGCAGGTGTAGGTGGGTTTTGATAGTTTGTTTTATAATATTTTTATAAAAATATTATACGTAATGTTCTTTTATTTGGAGCCTGTGAGTTTCTAAATCTGTAACTAGCAATTGCTGCCTTGCTTTCCTAATGGAGTGAGGGCTCTTCACACTTAGACTGTCCAACTCTGAACTCACTCTCAATCTCAGGCTTTCCTATCTATTCACAGATCCCTCGGGTGCTTTTAAGGCTTTCTCTGTGTATTGGGTCTCAACATTAGCACTGACTTCATGGCTCCCAAAATATCACTGCTTTGATATCCTGACAGCTTGGAAACAGGGCCCTACAGGTGAAGTGGGGCAAATAAATAGGAGTACTTTGTGACTTACGTGAACCCAGTGTTGCTTATTTTTCAAAACAATTTTTCACCAATAACATTCACTTCTCCCCCAGAGGTGGCAAAATACACTTTTTCATCTTCTTTTACAGTGAGGAATGTAAGATCCCAGGTACCAAATAAATGCTTTAGCCCCATACCTGGGTCTTCTGCCTCCAGTTCTTGGCTCTCCAGGAGTCCACATTCTTCCTCTCTTACCATCTTTCCCTCCTCTTCTGACCCTCATCACCACCACTAATACTCTCAATTGTCCTGGAAAAAAAAAAAGTCTACTTCACCATAGTCCACTTGACCTTCATGCAGTCAGAAACTTTGGATGGCTCCCAAGTTGGAAGTGTTAGAAATGAAATGAAAGCAGTGCAGACATTGGGCAAAAGTAGCATTTCCCTAAGGCACTTAGGATCTCAAGACATGTTTCCCCAGAAATTGCTGTTACTCTACAGATTCGTTGCACATTGCACTTAGACATACAGCTGGGCAAACTAAAAATTTCCTAACCTACATCCCGGCTCCCTGCCCAAATTTAAGGAAAGAGCCAGGAATGAGACAGTGTTTGTGTTTTTGTTTTTGTTTGGTGTAGAGCCTTCTTTTATGCAGGTTAGGCTACATGGGATCAGAGCCCAAGCAAAGGATGGGTAGGTGGAGGAGGACAGGGCCAGCTGAGGACTTTTTAGCAGAAAGAATGCTCCCTTCAGAGGATTGTCCTTCATCATGGTCCTCTGTGGATGGTAGCAAGAACACAGTATGGGGAAGGGAGGTTCAGAGAAGAAGCTTTGTTGTCCTCTGTTTCTGAAACAGGACAGTGTGGAGATTGTGAATGCGAAGAGAGTTTTGCTGAGCAGGCAAATATTTGTCTTCCAGTCTTGGTATTTTTTGAGTGTTGGGCAATTGACTGTCCTAAATAGAGTTCCTGTATTTCACACTATGGAATGTTCTGAGTAGGTTGCTACTTTGTTAAAGGTGGTTTTTTCTCTTTTTGTTGCCATTGCATAGGTTTAAGTTTGGGCTTATTTTTCTCCCCTTTAAATGTCACTCAAATATTTGCCTACCCCTACTTATTTGACTGTGATATGTGGCGATGAACTGATTAAAAAAAAAACAAAACTGGCTACCAGTCTTCCCTTATCAACAGCAGTCTTTTTTTTTTTTTTTTGGACAGTTGAAGAAGCATCTATAGGAAATACAGAAGGAAAATTCATGAAGGTGTTACAGACCCGGAAGAAGAGCACAAGCACCGAGCTGACTATTGAACCAGAAAGGGGATATGAGGACCAAAATAGTGTCAGCTTTTCTGGCTTCATAAATGAGCAGCCAGCCTTTAATGATGAAAGTGATCTCATTAGTGCACTAAATTACATATTGCCATTTTTCTCGCAGGGAAATCTGGAAGAGGCAGAATCAAAATTGTTACCATTCATTAAGCTGCTTTTTTCCAATGTGTTAAATGGAAATAATTCTCCTGATAATTTGAAAAATAATATAAGAAGACCCACTCTTAAGCCTTCTTCAAACAACTTAGCTTACAAAAATAAATTGAACAAGCTCTATTTTCTGGAAAATGTGTTAGATGCAGAAATTCAGGAAAAAATTGATGAAGTTAAAGAGAAAGAAAAAGCAGCCATGTTTATGCAGCCCAGCCTTTTAGGTCCCAAATCTAAACGCCAAATCTTTCAAAGGAAAATGGACACTGCCCAACCAGAGGAAAACAGCCTGGCAGAGTCTGCAGAGAAAAGGCTGCAGAGGGTGAACAGAGTCCTCAAGGGGCCAAAAGGCACACAGAAAAGGCCCTTCAAGGAAGTGAGGAAACAGAGCATCTGGGAGAAGCAGAGTGCCCCACCTCTTGTGGAGACTATTGCTGCAGAAAGGAGGGATAAGAGACCACCCTAAGGGAGCTGGAGCAGCTTCACATGGTCCAGGAGCCCAGGATATCAGAGGAGTTCACCTTCCAAACAGAGCCCTCACTCACAAAAGAACAGAAGGCAACGGTCTCTTCTCTCCTAATTCCATACTCAGTGTCCACCACTGCAAAACCACTCCCTGAGGTCAGAAATAAAGCAAAAGACTTAACCTACACCATGTTTGTTTTAGAAGATGCAAATGCTAGAGTTAGAAACATGCAGGCTTCTAAACCAAGCACAAATGACCAAAAAAATCACCTTCATCAAACAGGCTCTCATGTGCTCCATAGAATACCCAAATCCAGAAAGAAAAAGTCACACTTGAACGTGCTGCTTGCACACAGGCCTCCATTCTCTGCCGTGAGAAACCTCATAAGTTCCCCTTCACGAAGGTCCTTTTCATCTTTGCGAGACCTGAGTTCTCAGAACAACCCGTTTTCAGAATTAAATGTTTTTTCAGAACCTGTTATAGAGGACACGCCTATACAAAAGCAGACTGAAGGAAGTGCTCTTATGGCAAACACGGATGAGCCAGAAGATACTCTCTCTGAAGCCACAAACCAGGAAATGCTGCTGATGCAGATTCCAGTGTGGGTGCATTTGATGAAATACCAACTGTGAAACAAACCAGTGAGATACACTGGGAATACCCCAGCATGGGCACTGACTCACCCACCAAAGATGTCCTTAGCACATTGGTACCCCTGGCTGATCATCTTCTATCGAAGCTAATCCAGCAGCTTCCGTCCCTCATCCCCAACAGTGATGTGAGAGCACTTCTTTCTCGTATGATTAGGACCTTGGGAATTGACTGCTCTGATCCTGATGTGCAGGCAGTCTGTTCTAAATTCATCCTCAGAACAGGCTACCTGATGAAAGTTCTCAGTACACAGCAAGAAGCCAGTACATCCAGAACTGACTGGGATACAGACCAGTGGAAAACAAAGGACTACATCAGTGACAACACAGACGTTCAGAGTAAACAGAAGGGGCAGGAATCAAGTGAGGTGAGCAAATCATTTAGGATATGCCACTGAAGCAGGAAGACCAGTGGCTCTAGTCTAGTGCAAAGTTATGAAGCCAAGACAGTGTCTCCCACTTTGTTTCTTTGGTGAGTGAAGTGGGACCTAAAACAGATAAAAATTAATAGAAAAAAATGCAAATTAATGAGGCATGTAACACACTACATTTGGTGTGTTCTTTAATTCCCCTAAACTACTCACCTGCTGGAATGGGATTTTAAATAGTTTTCATCCTTCCCATCTCTTTGTTATTTAACAAAAAAATTTTTTTTTTAGTTTACAGAAGAAGTTCCAGGATCTGGTTATAACAACAAAGTCATCTTGGCAGGATCTTTGGCCACAGTACTGATGATTTTGATAATTATCTGTATCATTGAGGTAAGGACCACAATTTGTTCAGGTTTCCAGAATATGTGTTGTCTTTGTAATAGACTCCAAACCCACAAACTGAAAACCAAAGGGATTTTCCCACTCTCTACAGAAAAGTAATTCTGTAATGGTGTACGTAGTCTTCTCTCTATGAAATAGTATTTCTCACTGTCAAGCCTGTGATACCAGTAAGATGACAGAGTCTAATTTGTATCTAGGAGTCAGGGGCCGGCAGGTGTTAGTTTATGAAGACCTCCGGGAAGATGATCACTGGCCACTGCACAGGCAGTACCCTCTGCATCTCCCAGTGGCTATGGCCTTTCTTGAAATTTCTATAAACTCCTATACTGTTTTAATCTGTATGTACAGTTCAATCTGTATTTGTATTTATTTGTGTTTTCATTATTTCCTTTGCCTGCTTAAATAATAAGCTCTGAAAGGACAGGAAGCCTGCAGTGTTTTACCTGCCGTAGAAAGTAATGGCAGTCAAAGGAAGAGAGATAAGCATTGTGTCAACTCCACAATGAGGAATAACACAATGCAATATTTATTTCAAGTAGCATACAGCGTCCAGCAACAGACAGACGAGGTGTTCCCAAGGAGTGTGTGTGTCTGTGCTGGGAATTAAACCCAGGGCCTTGCACGTGCTAACCAGGTGCTACACTGAGCTACACTCCTAGCCTAACACTAGGTGACTTTTGAAATGTCACCTTCTAATATTCTAGTCAGTGGGAGAAAATAAACAAATGGTAATAGAACAGCTGCCTAACTATGTGGGAGCAAGTAACAAAACATTCCTACTTTCACCTTAAACAAACATATTTCGGTAAATGTAAAGACGGGGAAGAGAGAGACAGAAACAAAGAGGGAAGGAGGGAGAGAGAGAAAGACAGAGGGAGGGAGGAAGAGAGCGAGCTCTGAGAGAGAGGGAAACTAAGTATAAAAGTATTAGGAGAAAACACAGGCAGTACTTTTATAGTTTTGTGGTAGAAAAGAGCTTAGTAGGCCTGATGCCATGGGCAGGAACCTTTGGTAGATTTTGCCTCTGATGCCATAGCAATCTTAGCATTTATAGACAGGACAAAGAGTTTTCCACAGATCCTCACAAAAATCCTGTGAGGAAGAGCTCATTGATCCTGCTTTACCAATGAAGGAGATCATTTAAGGGTCCAGTGGCAAAACTGAAGGTAAAAAAAAAAAAACTCCAATTTCTCTGACTGTAAATTCATTCTCTTAACATTCTCCAGGGGAGGGTTTTATGGTTGCATTTGTTTTTGGTTTTGTTTTCGTACTGGGGTTTGAATTCAGGGTCTCACACTTGCCAGGCAAATGCCTAGTATTTGAGATAGGGTCTCAGGTTTTTGCCAGGGCCAGCCTGGGACCATGGTCCTCCAGTCCCTCTGAGTAGCTGGGATTACAGGCATGAATTGCCATGCCCTGCCCTGAGTTTTAATCACATAAATATTATACATCTTTGGTTAAGTTTATTCTGTGGGACTTTCTACATCTTTATTGCTAGTGTAAATGGGATCTTTCTTCCATTTTTCCAATTCATATAGGTACACAGGAAAGGTATTGAGGTGTGTGGGCTGATCTCTTTATTTTGTACTTAGCCAACTTGGTGAATTCTCATTACTTCCAGTAAAAGTTTAGTTAATTCTCTTGGGCTTTTGGGTTGTCCATCATTTCACATCCAAATAGTAATATTTTGTCCTTTCCTTTCTAGTGCTTATACCACATTTATTTTCCTTATTGCATTGACTGGGACCTCCTCAACAGCAGTGTCTCCAAGCAATAATAAGAAACATTTTACTCTTTGATTTTGAAACAACACTGTTGTTTTGGTTTCTGGTAGATTTTTTTTTTTTATTTATTCATATGTGCATATGTTGTTTGGGCACTTCTCTCCCCTGCCCCCCACCCCTTTCTCCACCCCCTCCCTCTCCCCCCCCCCCTCCTTGCTTCCAGGCAGAACCTGTTCTGCCCTCTTCTCCAACTTTGTTGAAGACAAGACATAAGCAACAGTAAGAAAGACATAGCATTTTTACCAGTTTGACATCAGGATAGCTATACAGAGAGATTCCTAGCATTGCTTCTATGCACATGTGTATTACAACCCAGATTGATTCATCTCTATGAAACCTCTTCACCACTTCCAGGTCCCCTCGCACAGTGACCTCTGTCGTTTTAAGGTGACTATTAGATACGTATATTTTAATCAAGTTAAGGATGCTTCCTTTTTCTATTTGAAGGGTCTGTTAGGAATTATCCGCTGAATTTCATCTAAAACAGTCAATACAATGTATTAAGTGCCAGCTGCATGCAAGATCCTAAGTTAGGTACTGTGGAAGAGAAGAACTATTAACAGAGTAGAATTCCTGTGTTCAGAAAAGTTATCTCACTGGGTAAATAAGACCTAAATACAAGGACTGGATAAAGATTTGAAGATAGTGTTCACTGTGGTGGATAATCATGATTGTGCTTTCTTCCAAAAACAGATTTATTCCCACAGACGAACAACAGAGGATGATAGAGAAGGCTCCTCAAGGTAAATATAGGTCTTTTTATGAGGGTCTGAGAACGAGGGGAGAACTTAGAACTCATCTCTTTAGATCCCCTGGTCTAACAAGGAGGAAACTGCCAGAGGTGTAAAGTATACATATTTCCCATAGGGTTTTGATGGGCTCCAGCAAAAGCTGTTCCCTAGCCAGGACTTTGCTGTAATTAGTCCCTCAAGCATAGAGGGTGAAGAGTAAGAGGTTTGGGCTGTGCCTGCTCCTGCTGCTGGTGGGCATCAGGCCCAAGAAGAGGCCTTCTAGGGAACTGGGTTAGGAAGCCCCAGGATGTTAGGACACAGGGCTGGTGACAGATAGAGCGTCTGAGTCCTTCCTCTAAAGTGGTGGGAAAACTTACCTTCTCAATCCTACTGGTTACCTTCTCATCTCTACTCTCTCTTTTATCCAAACCTCATAGAGTTTTAGCTAGGAGAAACAGTAGTTTGTCTCTTCCTTTTATAGTAAGGAAATGGAGAAGGAGAAAGAGGAAATACCTTATCCCAGGGTCACACTGCTAGTGAGTTATCAGGAAGGTGGCTCCTTTCAAGCCTGACACTTCTCCATTGATTACACTGTGGTTGGGCTGTGATTACATATTATATCATGAATCAGTACTTATATGCCATGAAGACAACCATAGTCTCTGGAATGATACACTCTGACTTTTCCTATTCTGTTTGTATTCAGAAAAGATACGTTGTGTGTTAGTGCTAGTCATGGCCGTTAAACTGATTTCATGCCACATTTATTAGTGACAGCCTGCAGTAGAAAAATCTTTGAGCTAGATAACTTCATTAGCTGGACTCAGACATTTGCTTGGGCTTGGTGTGACTCAACTTATGGGTAAAGCGGCTAGGAAAACAAAAGCACCTTCTCCCTCACTCCTCACCCCAACCCAGTGAGCAAATGATGCATGAGAACCAAGTTTGCAGGGGACTGATATGAAAGACTCTGGAGAGCGTGAAATGCTTCTTCCCAGTATGGTTGTGCAGTTTGTTCACTGCACAGGGGTACTTAGCAGAGGAGAAAAGTGGAGCTGATGATCCTGCCTATGCTGCATGCAAGCCACACACAAAGGTCTCCCCAGACATTGTGGGGCTCTTTGGGACAGGCATGGACAGCTGCTGGAAGCCCTGCATGCATGGAATTGTTTTCAAGCCCCCAGGTCTGGGGTGACTTTGCTCATTGTGATTATGGACCAAAGCACAAGTTTTTGTCTTAGTAAGACCTGAGATGTACATCATAAGAGACTTGTAAAACAGCATGAATCACTAACTGTCTTGTGCATGTGTTTTCTCCAAGGGGCTTTTTCGCATTTCTGCGCAGGAGATACCCAACAGAAAGTGAGAGTCAGGCAAGTTTGAAGAGGACTTGGTGTTGTGGTTGGAAAAGGGAGGGGAAAGCAGAATTAATATCTCCCCTTCTCTTTTCTAGGAGGGCTTCCTTTGCTTAAGGCAGCCACTCTGGCTTAGGGATATGTACAGACCTCTCAGTGCCACCCGGAAGAAAAATATGGCCCAGAAGCTACATGACAAGGACTCTTCTGATGAGGATGAGATTTTCAATAAAGATGCAGGGTAAATGGCTAAGGGGTGATTTAAGATTCCTGTCTAACATGGGAGTAAGGAACATTTGGGACTCTTTAGAGTAAAAGCTTTGCTTGTTTCTTCTCCTAGGGAGCTCACTGAAGTCATCGTAGACAGTTCTGGATCTTCAAGAGAAAAAGGCTTGAATGATTCTCCCAGTGAAGTCAGTGAAGAAGCTTCTGGAACTTCAAAAGAAAAAGGCTTGCATTATTCTCCCAGGGAGCTCAGCGAAGTCGTCGTAACAATTCCAGCACAGGTAGATTCAGCCCGAGGGTGAGAAGAGGAACTGGCTGAGGTGCTCTCCACTCAGCCCATACAGTGATGCCCATCCCACCTCAGAACTGGCAAATTTTTGTTTGACACTGCTTGTCAAATACTTATTATTCTCATTAAAATGTGTAAAATTTCTAACTCAGTCTATCCATGTAGTAAGAAATTAAAACCTAAAGAGTTAAATAATGTATGTGCAAATAACAAGGACACAGGCAGGAAAACTAGAACTGATGCTGGACTCCTTTGTGGCAGTCACGCTTCTGGAAGAAGCAGTGTAGACAGAGAAGAGAGCTTCCTGCCTTAGCTCCCCCAGTTTAATCATCCTCGGGGAATCAGAAAACACATCTACAACGGATGCGGAGTTTTAAGTCAAATCCCAGTTGTTCTCTTGCCCTTTCCTCTGTTCATCAAGAACCAGTCATTTCCGAGGTGTCTGACCCCCTGCCCCCTGGAGACCATACACCTTGTAGAACTTCTCACTTGGTGTTGGGGACACTAGAATATCTAGATCAGTGAGCCTACTGCACTGTGGGGCCAGGTCTTGTGGTTTTTTTCCCAAGCCCTCAAACTATTACATGAGTATGTAGCCTGTCTTAGAAGTGTTCTCCACTTTGACAAATGGGTAGAAAATTGACCTTAGTTTGTTTTTCTTTTAAAACTATTGACCCTGCCAGGCACCAGTAACAGGCTCACTCCTGTAATCCTAGCTACTCAGGAGGCAGAGCAGAGATCAGGAGGATTTCGATTTGAAGCCAGCCCAAGCAAATAGTTCAAGAGATCCTATCTCGAAAAAACCCTTCACACACACACACACACAAAGAGCTGGTGGAATGGCTGAAGGTGAAGGCCCAGGACTGCACCAAAACACAATTGACCCTTGGACAATTGTAGAGAGGTAGCAGAGGGATAGTGTAAGAATGTGCAGGATAATTTCCCAAGACTGCCCTCCCTAGCCTTTATTTCCAAAAATAAACTGGTGGGGCTACTTCTCCATTCACATGGGCTCCACAGCCTCTCCTAACCTCACTGAGGGTTGCACATTTGCTGCTCAGCTCCTTCCAGTTCTGCCCTGCTCCAAATCTATCTGCTTCCTGCCTTGTCCAATGGGCATCCGTAGCTACATGATTGCAAGTAGCTATTTACAAAGGACACAAGGGGTCCTTCACTCCATGCTCAAAAACAGTTATTAATAAATCATGTTGAGAATGTATTAAACACATTTGTGAGTAAAAGAAAATCAGAATAAACAAGAATAATCCACCTACTGAACACAAGAAAATGATGGCATTCTAGTAATATGAGATGAAGAACGGTGCCAGCCACAAATGGATGAACAGCCCCAGGTCTCCTGGAGGAGCAGTGTGCCTGGAAAGCAGCTCAGTGGGTTTTGCTGGTTAGGGTTCCAAGCAGTTAGTGGCCTGTCAGTTCCTCATCTGGCTGATAAGTTAGCTAATTCTGGGCAGGAGATCCCTGTTATCTTGATGCTTCCCAAAGTTCCTTCCTAAAAATGAAAACCAGTGTTTCTCCTTCTATGGTGACAAGTGAGCCAAAAAATATTTACTGAATTTACAGCACAAGACTAAATAGTAATCACAACAGGAAGCACCAACAACTACCACTTAAAATCAGCTTACTTGGTGCCAGGCCCTGGGTTAGGCATTTCACAGTCTTTCATCATTTAGCAACTTTTTTTTTTTTTTTTGCATTATTTTTTTATTTTGTGAGCTCAGGGCTTCATGCTCACAAAGCAGGCGCTCTACTGCTTGAGCCACACCTCCAGTCCATTTTGCTGTAATTATTTTGGAGCACTGTTTGCCTGGGCTGGCTCAATCTGTGATCCTCCCAATCTTAGCCTCCCAAGTGGCTAGGATTATAGGCATGAGCCACTAGTACCTGGATAGAGGTGTTTCCCTAAAAAAAGTATTGAAAAAAAAGACAGGAGCTAATAAGAAAGGTACTTCGGGCTTCCCAAAGTGTGACACAGGACTCCAAGAAGCTTTATTTTGGCATATTTGCATTATTTTAAATTTGACACAAAAAGTGAAGTTCTTTTTTTATGTAACACTATCTCAAATTTGTACAATTAAATTGTACAATTAATTAAAACTCACAAGCATTATATTCTACATTGTCCAGCTGGTCCTAGATGGGGCAGAATTTCTGCCCCAATCCAGACTTTCTGCCCGGCCAGCCTGTGGCCAGCTGTCTGTCCTCAAGCCAGGCACACACCCCTGGCTGTAATCTGGAAGAAGAATGGTGTCTTGGGTTGGGTGGCACAGAACATGACTGTCTCCATCTTACTGATGGGCAAACTATAGCTCAGAAGACCAGCTCTTAGCTGAGACCTGAGTGAAAGAAGTGGACACCAGACCAATGCCACTACAAGAAAACTCTCAGTGATCCCAGCGAAACCTGTCAGAGAAATGAGACATTTTTAACAAGATGATGAAATGAGGCAAAATATAATTAGGGCAAAAATGCTGCAGACCAGAGATGTGTCAGTTCAGTGAAGGAAAAGTTAGGTGGCCTAGGGAGAGTCCAAAAAGGGATGGAACTTAAGCTGGGTATGGGTTACATGCAAGATGCTGTGACGGTGCTGGGGAAAGAATTGACTAGGACAGAGTCCCTTTTCTCAGGGGGCATCTCAATCCACACTGAGAAGACAGTGTATTGGATGAGACCATGGCTGCTTATCAAGATGTGGTCCAACTCTGGGTTTGCTGGAATAGAGCAGATACTAGGGATGAAGAGAAAAGGAATAAAGTTGATTCCTGACAATAAAGATTTCCTTTCTGACAACAGGAAAGACAGGCATCTAGACAGTGGACAGTACAATGGCAAGGAAGCACAAATCCTTGAGGGAGGCCTGCATGTGGGCAGTCTGATGTTCTGGAGCATGACATGCAAGCGTGCAAGGAGTAAAAGGCATAAATGCTACACACTGCATAGGGGCCAGGGACCCTGATCCCAAAGGCACAGGAACCAGAGGTTGAACTACTGATGGGTTACAAGTGAGAAGACATGATCAAGTTTGGAATTTAGTCCTTTGATGGTGGCCTAAAAGTAGAGGGAGAGCAGGAGGTAACGGGGTCTGGACTAAGCAGGAACTGGGAGAAAAATGGAGCTCCAGATAGGGTGTTTGATTCAGCAGGGGTTTTTCTAGCTCAACAGGAACCACCAAGCTCAGTTGGAAAAATTAGGCTAATGAGGTCATCTCTCCACCAAGCAACAGCCACAAAGGTAACATAGATGTTCCCTGTTTCCCTAGTCCTATAAACATACAATACATGCCAAGACAGGCTCCTTCCATACAGAAACTCCAGCCTTGGTACCCACAGTCCTGCTAAACCTGGCCTGACTTTCCTTCTCTGAAAGCTTGGGAGACAGAGTGTACTGTTAACATTCTGCTTGTAAGTACCTCTCCTCCCCACCAAAAAAAAAAAAATCACCCTAATTTACATTTCAGCATTTGGTGCTACTGTCCCCCTTATGTGACAGTGGGTAAGGAATTCTGTGCCCAGGAAAATCAATGAGCAGTTGGCATGGAGGGGAAGACTTGGAGCCTGGGGTAAAAATCCCCAACCATTGCAAGGGCACCACTAATACACCAGCTCAGAGGGTCTCCAGTCTGGCTGACTCAATCCATGCATCAAAGTATCACGTACCTAATGCTGGGTACCAGATCACCCCCCGACTGTGACTTAAAATGACAGTAAGCTCCTATTCCTCACAGTGTTTGCAAGTCAAGAATTGAGGAGCAGCTATAGCGGTTCCAGCTCTGAGTCTCTCATGAGATTCTCAAGACTTCGGTCAAGGCTGTGGCCATCTGAAGGCTTGACTGAGGCTGGAGGATCCACCTCCGAGGTGGCTCGTTCCCTCACGCTGTGTCTTGCCTGTGTGGCCCTGTCCACATGCTACTTGACTGAATGTCCTCACATCGTGATGGCTGGGCTTCCTCCAGAAACACTTTTTATTTTTATGACCAAGCCTCAGAAAGCACACAGCACCCTTCTGCCACACCACATGAACAGAAACGTCACTAAATCCAACCTACACTCGAGGAGAGAGGATTTAGACTCTGCCTTTTGAAGAAAGAAGATTCAAAGAATTTGTAGACATATTTTAATACTACCTGCATTAGGAAAAAACCCTTTTCTCTACTTCTGACATTAGATGGGGGGTTGTCCCACACCAAGCAATTTTCCAATTTTCTGTGGACACCAGCTGGGTAACCTATAATTCCACTTAATTTTACTACCAACTGGGGTTAGTGCCAGACTCCTCGCATTAAGGACTCAGTACTACAAGACTGCCTCTACTTCAGAGGAGGACTTGAGGCCAATCTCAAGTCCAGGTTGTCACCCATGCTTCTGACTAACCATTGACCTCAGGTTTGATCATTTGACAGAATGACTCCTGGAGTGCAGGAAAACTGTACTTCCTACTGTGGATCTAGTACAAAAGAGTATTGTGTTTTGTTTTATTTATTTTTATTTATTGTACTGAGGATTGTACCCAGGTCCTCATGTACCACCTGATGCATGCCTCCAGCCCTAAAAAGGATATTTTAAAGGGTACAATGAACAGCCATATGAACAGATACATAGGGTGAGGTCTGGCTGGAAATGTTCCCACGGAGCATGGATTTGGGATACACCACCCTCCCAGCATGTGGATATGTCTATGAACCCAGAAGCATTCTGAATCCCATTTTTTGGGATTTTTTTAGGAAGGCTGCATCATGCAGACATGATTCATCATTAATCTCCACCTCCTCATCTCCCCCCCAGAGGCTGAATACTGGAGCTTAAAGTTTTAAATACCCAATTATGATTTAGTCTTTCTGGTGACCAGCCCCCACCTAGGAGCCCACCAAAAGTTGCTTCATTAGAACAAAAAAATGCTCCCATCACCCAAAAAAGTTTCCAAAGTTTTTAGGAGCTCTGTATCAGGAACTGGGGGCAGAAACCAAAAATATATTTTTATTCTGTCATACTACCTCAGACAAGAAACTAGAAGGCACTCTGGATACTTTAAGCCAAAACAGATTTTCTATAGGCTGTTAGTGCTTCCCTTTCAACCTACAAACCTTCCCTCGAGTCAATCCTAGAGACAAAGGGGACCTATCCTAGCAAGCTTTTGTGTGCTGCCTTAACTACTGCAGTATCCTCTTGAAACATCCAGAACGGCTTCTAGTTTCTTGTCTGACGTAGTATGTCATAACAAGACGAGGGTATAGCCCTCATTTATATGAAGCCTCCATAGTATTCAGAGGTCAAAGTCTCAAAGTCCTTCAGCCCTACAAACCCAAGCCCTCCACGGTGTGGCGCCAAACCCTCCTTCCAACATTATAACACAGAAAGCCTCCACTTGAGCTGCTCTTGGCACTTCTGTTTGGGCCTCAAGACCTCCTGTTTTGTTTTGCTTGTTGCTGTTGTTTTGAGGGCACTAGGGTGGGAGGCTAGGGCCTTACACTGCTAGGTAAGCATCTGCTACTGAGTTGCACCCCATTCAGCTTTCCTCTTCTTGAGGGTCACGCCCTCATCTACATGAGGTAGAGCAATAAGTAGACAGAGCCTGGGTTCTTGACAGTGTGGACCACCAAATTAACCCTGGGCTTCTTAATTGGATTATTACATGAGAACTCAATAAACTGCTTTCTTTCTAACCCACTGTGTGTTGGGTCTCTCTTGCAATAGCTGAACTTACAACCTACTAAAAGAAATGGGTTAGAGGACTGATGTGATGGTTATACCTGTAATCCTACCTAGCTATTCAGGAGGTAGAGATCAGGAGAACTGTGGTTCAAAGGCAACCAGAACAAAAAGTAAGCAAGACCCCATCTCAACAAACATGCCAGGTAAGGTGGTACATACCTGTGACCCCAGCTATGTGGTGGGTAAAAGTAGGAGGGCCATGGTCCAGGCTAGCCTACTCAAAACCACAAGACCCTATCCAAAACATAACTAAAGCAAAAGGACTAGGCACATAGCTCAAGCAGTAGAATACTGCCTAGGAAGTAGAAGTATGAGGTCCTGAGACCCTAGTACCAAAAAAAAAAAAAAAAAAAGAGTGAGTTAAGCTGAATGTGGTGGCACAACTATGGTCCCAGCTACTAAGGAGGTGGAGGTAGGAGGATCACAGTTCATGACCAGCCTGGGCAAAGTTAGCACAAGACCATATTTGAAAAACTAAAAGCAAAAGAACTGGGAGTTTGGCTCACATGGTAGAGTACTTCATGCTTGAGGCTCTGAGTTCAATCCCCAGTACCACCAAATAAATAAATAAATAGATAAATAAATAATAAGGAATGGGTTAGCTATGCTGCAGTGATGCTGTGTAACTCGGGATTAGAATGGCCCTTGCAGGTCTGTAGCTGGCTAATGTAGCTGTGTTCTAATGCTGTGCTAGCTGGTTGGCTCCGTCCACCTGTGCTCACTCTGCACTCAGGGTGGGAGGTGGTAATTAAGAGGAGATGCTCCTCTCTTGTGAAGGAGGAAGTCCACTGAAGACCAGCAGATGCTCGTGAGGCCTCTGCAAGCCACTTGGAACAGCACTTTCACTTCTACTTCATCTCACTGGCCAAAGCAAGCCACAGGGCAAGCCCAAAGCCAGGGGACAGGCAAGGACAGTTTACCCACAATGAGATCATGGATACCATGTGGGCCAAGAAACTGGGGCTAGTAATTCATGTCTGATGAGCCCTGGTTTGTAGGTTATGCAATCTGGGCCTGCTCTTGCAGCAGTCACCTGGAAACACAATGTAGTGAAGGAAGGGACTCAGTCACTGTTCTCTTTGAGGTCACTTTGAGGAACCATGACAAGGCAAGAACCACATCTCCTTCCTCTCCACACAGCTCCTGCCCCCTTCCCACCAGTGTGTAACACAAGCCCTGCTTTAGGGATGACTCAGGAATATTGCTGAGTGCATTTCAGTCTGTTCCTTCAGCCTCTCTATGTGATTCAGTATGCAATATAGACTGACTTACTGGAGGTCAGCAAATAATGTTATTGCCCCACAAACTAAAGGGATTGTGCCCTTTGGAGCTGAGATCTGTACCCAGATGTGTCTGACACCAAATACTGGATCTACTGCCTCCCACAAGGACCTCCAGAAGAAAAGGATAAACACCAAAACAGATTAGTAAAATCTCCAGGGACCATTTGAAATGGAAAAGATTCTCATCACCTGAAATATCAAAAACCAGCTGGGTGCCAGTGGCTCACATCTGTAATCCTAGCTACTCAGGAGGCAGATATCAAAGCCAGCATGGGCAAATAATTCATGAGAATTTAAAAAAACATCTCAAAAAAGTGCTGGCAGAATGGCTGAAGTGCTAAGAGCACCTACCTAGCAAGCTTGAGGCCCTGAGTCCAAACCCCAGTGCCATAAAAAAATAAAGGCACAAACTTAGTCAGGGATCCTCATGGCTCAACACAGTGAGATTCCCCAACAAAGTCCCCATGCTCCTCAAAGCCCCTTGGCCACTCTCATCAGGCAAAAATCCAAGTTTAGGCCCAGACATTCTACCTTAATTGCTATCTTCCCCAGAGACTTTGATTTTTTAAAAGGAGAAGCACTTAAAGAGCTGTGATGAACCCTAAAGAATGCTGCCACCATCAGGCATAGGCCATGTGGGCGGAGAATGTGTTTTAGGGCAGTGACTCATGGTAAATTTTCCCCCCAGTTCCCAAAAGGGACTATTCAAAGCCCCCCCAAACCCAAGGTGGTAAAAGTGGGGGATGGGGAACCTAGGAGTGCTGTGAGGTGTCTTCATTATATATGTTGGAGAGTTTGGAGCTTGCTATAAAAAGTGATGGCCCATGGCTCTCCAAGATTGCCCTCACGAATTACAACAGATGTTTTGTAGTAGTTTTAAAAAATCTATCTCCATGGTACTTAGGCACTGGTAAGTGAATGAAGCAAGGCTAGTATAATGTGCATCGTACGTGACTGTGTGTTGTGTATTATCTGTACAAAATTGGGGTCCCAATATAGTAATCACTAGCCACATATCAATATTTAAATATAAATTTAAATTAATACAAATTAAAATTTAAAAGTCAGCACCTAAGTCACACTAGCCAAATTTCCATTGCTCAATAGCCACATGTGCCTGGCTAGTGACTGCAATATTGAACAGCAATGGTAAGACATTTTCATCATTACGATTCTCTTTTTAGCAGTCCAAGGGTTTAAACTCAGGCTAGCACTTGCTAGGTCTACTGCTTAAGCCCATACCCCCAGCTTTTTCTTTAGTTAATTTTTGGATAGGGTCTCGCACTTGTTGCCTGGTGCCAGCCTTAGACTGCAATCCTCCTACCTATGCCTCCCATTAAGGTGGGACCAAGGCACCAACCACCACACCCAGCTTATTTGTTGAGATGGGGGGGCTCATTAACTTTTTGCCCAGTCTGGCCTCAAACTGTGATCCTCATGAGCTCTGCTTCCTGAGCAGCTGGGATTACATCATCATTACAGTTCTGATGGACAGTGCTACCATAGAATATCTCTGGAGGGACATACAAGATACTGATAATGGTGGTTTCCTTTAAGGAGGGCAACTGGGAAGCTGCAATGACACATAGGTGTGCCCTTTTGTATATACCTTTTGAATTTTAGGTCATGTATTTGTATCAAGTATTTGAAAAATTATTTGAAAAATAATACAAATTGGGAATCCCTTCTAGGAAATCACTGTACTGGGACAATGGTTCCCAGGAAATTACTTTGCAATTTGTCTATAAAATAAGTTAGTAGATTTATGATTTCATTTTAATGTTTTTTCACAGCTTAGACTTTTTAGCTCCTGCCAACCTCTCTGCTCTTAGAAACTCACAAGTAAGAAGTGAATTAGTACTAGTAGAGGGATGTTAAAGGAAAAACTCACCAACTCTCAGGCAGTTAGCATTTTTTTTTCCCTGACAAATTGTGATTGTATTCCATGTGAATAAATGACAGCCATAGTTCCTGTTGGTAAGGGTGTTCCTGGTTCTACAACAGAAATAATCTCCAATCACTCCACCTCCTGAGCAAGGTTGGAATCAGTGAAATAGGGAATGGGGCTCTTGCTTGGAATGAACCTGTACTCAGGCCAGTTAAGGTAGGAATGGGATGGGAGGACCCTTGCAACATGACTAGGCTCTTAGAGAAAGAATGCACTAGATTGAAGGGGCACAGGGAAGTACCTGTTGCCCTGCTCAAAAGTTAACCTCTGGAGCAGTGATAGCAGTGATTCCCAACCTATAACTGCAGATCCTGGGAGGGCCTGAGAGGGCCTCTGAAACCCTGTGTGCCACAAGCACTGTTTGTAAGGCAAATAAATCCTGTCCGTCTCCAACACTAAAATTTTTACATCACGAATAGCAATCCTATTTTAAGTATAAATTTACATGTTATTTAAACCTTACAGCTGCCTGGGAGGTCCATCTTATTCTCCCCAAATAATAGATGAAGAAATTGGGTAATAACTCACCCAAGCTCAAAAAATATGTCAGTTCAGGCTCTTTATGTTCCATGTGAAAGAAATCTAGTTGCTTAAACAAAAGATGTCAGCCAGGCATGGTGGTACATGCCTGTAATCACAGCACTTGGGAGAAGGAGGAAGGAAGATCTTAAGTTCTAAGCCAGTCTAGGTACACAGCAAGACCCTGTTTCAAAGAAACAAACAAAAATAGTGCATAATATATCAGATCATAACAATTACTTATTAACTGTCTTTTGCTGAAAAGTACTGATTACTTGCTTTTTTTGTGGTACTGGGGTTTGAACTCAGGGCCTACACCTTGAGTCACTCCACCAGCTCTTTTTTTATGCACAGTTTTTTCAAGATAGGGTCTCGCAAACTATTTGCTGGGGCTGGCTTCGAACCTTGATCTTCCTGATCTCTGCCTCCTGAGACACTGGTGCCCAGCAAAAGCACTGACTACTTTCTTGGGCCCATGAATTAACTAAAAGCAGTAGAAAAGTTTGGAATCTGTGTCTCCATGTTGTATCTGTGACCTTTGCTCTGAGCCCTTCTCCCCTGTAGTTACTTTGTAAACACCTTGGCATCTAGGAAGGGCAGGACTGATCAAAAACATCTTTACAAGAAAGGAAGGAGGAAACTACAAGAAAAAACACCAGAGTCTCCACCTGCCAAGCACACTGCTTTGCTCAGCCTGACCAGATTTTTCCCCTCAAGCAATAATCCCCTCAGCCATAATGTCTCCAAAACCCCCGAGAATGATCAGCCAGGCCATACTTTGACCAGGACTATTTATTTACTGAGTTATTTTTGGTAGGACTGGGGTTTGAACTGAGGCATTGGTGTTTGCAAAGCTGGTGCTCTACCACTTGAGCCATGCCTCCAGCCCATTTTGCTCTGGTTATTTTGAAGATGGGGCCTGGAGAACTATCTGCCTAAGCTGACCTCAAACCTGGATCCTCCCTATCTCAGCCTCCCAAGTAATTAGGATTACAGGCATGAGCCACCAGTGCCCAGCTGACCAGAACTACTTAGTAATTACGCATACCTTTCACCCCCTGCCCCAGTTCTTTTTCTGTTTAACCCAAAAGCTCATGCCTATACTCCAAAGACAGGCTGAATACCCTGCCTCTTCCTGAGGTGCCGGAGCAGCATAATAAATCTTTCTCCGTCTTCATCATTACTCATCTCTTTATTTGGTGTGTTGGGGCAAGTGGCTGGACCTGACATGTGGAACCCCTGGAGTTGGGCTGGGGGCCTAAGACTTTGATTTCAACACATCAGGGAACCCTAGGGCTTAAAGCTGGCTGCATGAGTGGCTCGTGCATCTTTCTTTTCTGGCTCTCTGCTTTCCTTTGTGATGGCTTTGGCCTTGGGAGGACTCTAGCCCCATAACTGTAAGGTTGGTAATCAGAAATTCCAGCTCTACACTGAAGTCCAGGAAATAGCGCACAGAAAAGCTGCCCTCAAAGGTGCTCTGATTGGTCTGTTGGACCATGGGTCAGGAAAGGGAAGGCACTGACTGGCTTGCCATAGTGCACATCTGGGGCCTTGAAGGAGGGCCCTTAAATCAGTAACTCAAACCCACCACAACTGCAGGGAATGGAGGAGGCTCATACCAAAAGTAAAATAAAGAGGAGGTTTGGTTGTAAAAAGATAAGGGGATGGATAAGGGATGGAGGATCAAAAACTGAAGTTGGATTGAACTAACCTTTAAGCCCAAAAAGCAACAGTTTTTAAAAACATGTTCATAGATGCTATGAACCTGAAAACCTCTCAAGTTCTCTTCTCCGAACTTGAGATTACTTTGTAGATTACTTTATTATTGTTCAAGTGCATGAAAACATGAGATTGTTTTTTTCCCTGGAGTTTGCCTGGTGGGATCACAGTCCATTGTGGAGAGTGGAGTATGAGAAGCCTATGAGAACTTGACATGAGCACAGCCATGTCAATCTGCAGGCTGGGGTCGGCACAGCCCCCAGCTGCAGAAGGGAGCGAGAGCAAAATTCCGCACCGTTGCTTTATGTAAGAATAAGGATGTTTACACCATGACTGCAGACAGCAACAGTATACGCAGAAAGTATACTGAAATCACAGGTTTCTCCTGTTCCCAATAACTACAAGGTCATGCTACTGACTTCGCTATCCCACTTCCTTGTTTGCCCCTGTACATAATAAACTCGCTGGAGGTGGTGGAGGCTGTGTGTGTCTCCACCAGAGCACCCAGTCCACCTGATCCCAGCTTTCTGCATGTTTGTCTTTTGTCCTTTCTCAGTCTCCCGTTGCTCCAAGTTAGGTTGCTAGGATGAACTCATGCAGGTTGCAAGAATCCTTGAATGAAATTGTTTGCAAAAACATGGAATATATATGTGCATTTGTGCATGTCACTCTTGTCCCATCCCCACCCCCATCACACCCAAGACCCACGCCGTTCTGCACTTCACAAAAGCATGTAGAGTAAGATGAGAAGAGGCAAGCACACCTGCAGACTTCAGAAAGACCGGGAGCCTGGAAAGCAAGAGACCAGCACACAAGGGCTCCTGATAAACAAGAGGTTATTTTGAGGGGTTCCCCCAGCTCCAAACACTCAGTAGCTTTGCAAAACTTAGTGGGATAAGAGAGAGACATTAAATGCTCGATTTGGAGGCAGAAGCATGCTTGTGCCAAGTCACCAATGCTCTGGCTGTGCCAGATATACTATTCCAAGGTAGCTAGATGTCTGTAGAAAATCCTTTACTTCCAGCATTGCTTCAAATGGGTTCAACGGGGGGGAAGAGAAGGAAAGGGTGCAAGAGAGTATGATGGAAATATGTACTCATGAGACCTGTGGAAACTATTCCAGGAATTGGGGGAGGGGGATACATGAGAATGATGGAGGGGGTGAATTCAACTATGGTATATTGTAAGAATTTTGTAAATGTCACAATGTACAACTCAATTCCCTCTGAATTTCTTTCCTCCTTCCCCGTAAAATGGGGATAATCTGAAGATATGAATGTGAAGTTCTGGCAGCTAATGTAGCGATTACTGACTAATAACTGTATTTGGGAGTTTTCTTTTGGTAAGTGTCTTTTTAAATTTTATAGATCTATGTAACCAGTAAAGCAGTCTCACCTGATATTGGTCTACAGAGTTGGCAGGGGAGGAGGCAAGCAAGAAAAGACAAGTGGAGAATATGAAGCTCTGCAAGCAACCTTTATCTGGTCTACACCTGTAAATATAATGGTGATCAATTAAAGCCTTTGGAAGTGTTAAAAAACAAAAACAAAAAAAAATGTACCTGTACCCCGAGTACAACAACAACAACAAAAACCAAGGGTGGTTTAACAGCAAAAGAACATCGTTTGTATGCATCTGTAATCTTCCCGCTCAACTATCAGCTGTGTTGAACCCACTCAACTCACCTAGCCTAAAACTGAGGAGGGGAGGTTCTCGCTCCTGCAGAACAGGCAGCCCCCAAACAGGGAGGTGAGGGACGCCCCTAACAGCTGCTTTGATAAATCGAAGCAGAGACACAGCGACAGCTCCCTGCAGAAGTCACAGAGGAGCTTGAACTGTTCACTCACGAGTGCAACCTTCGGCCGAGGGAAGGTTGGTGCCAAGGCCAAGCGAGGTGAAGGACTCAGAAGCCAGGAGTCGTCTGACGCAGAACTGCTGGGAGCAGGCTGTGCGGACGCGCACTGGGCGAGTGCCCCAGCCTTCCGCCCGAGGCTGGCGCCCTGGGAACCCGGGCGACGGGTACAAGCAACGGCTCCCGGGGAACCGCACCTCCAGGCTGTCGAGCGGTTGGCCCCGCCCCGCGGCTTCTCTGAGCTCCTCGATTGGCTCTGCGGGCCGGAGGCGGGGCCTGACGCGGAGCCTACGTGATGACGTCAGGCGCCGCCGCGCCCCTTCCTGTTGTCAGTGGCCCGGAGGCCGTAGCGTCGGCTCCGAGTCTGAGGCGCTGTAGCGGCCGGGAGCTCAGCCCGCCCGGTCCCTGCTCCCTGTGGTGAGTTCTCGTGACTGGAATGCGGTTGGGTGGGTGGAATATAATTTGGTAACGGGTGAGGCAGCCAGCCAGGGTCCAGGGCTCTCCCTGGCAGCCTGCACAGACCACCGTCCCCATGCACCTGTTTCCCTCTGCGTGGCCTGAATTAGGAGGTCCACAGCGGGGTGACTCCCTGTGCCTGGTTTACTCTGCCAACCCCAGAGGCCAGAGATTGCCTCGGCAGCCTCGCCTCATTGAGGACCACAGTGTTTCCCTGCTTCGCAGATGTCGTGTTCCACGCTGTCCTGTAAGCCTTGCTTGCCAGACTGGCCTTAATACTCCCTGTACCCCATGCCTTGGCCCCCAGCCAAAGTGTCCTCCTCGCAGCCCACCCTGAGTCCAGCTCTGAGGATGGCACTCTCTCGGGCCTCTGGGGTTTCCCCTCACCTGGGATTGGTGTCACTCAGGTCCAGCAGTGGAACCAAGCCACTATCAGCCATGGCATCTCCAGTACTTCCTTGAGCTGGGACAGCTCCATGTCCTTATCTAGCAGGTGGAGATAATAAAATGGCACCCCTAGGACAATTAGGAAGAGCACAAATGCTGCAATCTAGGTAACATTTCTTGGTTGTGTTAACTTCTTTGGATCATAATTATTTGAAAGCAGACAACCTTAACAAGTTTTTTTTCTTGGTGGCACTGGGGTTTGATCTCACTGCTTCATGCTTGCTAGGCAAGAGCTCTACCACTTGAGCCACACTGAGGGATTGAATAATGGACTGCCTTCAACTATTGGTACCCATATTTCAGGCATTGGCATTCTTTGTAGATTTGGGTGGCTACATCCACTGGGATTACAGATACCATGTCTACCTGGAACACATCAGGCACTGTGCTGGGTGTTTTATTTGGTCATACTCTGCCTGAGAAATCTACTGTGCCCCAGCATGCCTTGCTGGTTAGAGGGAAATTGCCATCAGAATCCATGTTGGTCTGTTTAGATTGTCCCTGTGCTGCCCAATGGAGAAGCAGAGTGTGGCAACAGACCCTGTCTCCTTCTGAAGCTGCTTGGTTGTATCCACCATCACCCAGATAGCAGACCCTGGACAGGGACAGGAGTCAGGGGCTGGTGCAGGGCCCAGGCCTTGACTGTGAATTGTGAGCCCTGCTTCCCGGTCCTCATGGGTTCTTGGCGCCTTCAGCTGAAGCATCTCCCTGGTGCCCTGAAGCAGCCTTTGGCTCCCTGCCCCCACACACCCATCCCACCAGCCCTGGCTTTCTGTGTAGCTTTTGGTGTTCAGAGTCCTTACCACCCACTCATGGCACACAGGGCTCCTCGCCTCCCAAGGACTCAGCCTCTGGCTTTTTCCTTCCTTAAAATCCACTCTCAGTTTTTACTTTTGTGTTGCTCACAGGCCTTTCGGTTGCAGTTTGAGTAAGCCGAGATGACCGCCTGCTGCTTGCTGGGAGGGGACTGTGGTTGCGGGGTGAGTTGGGAGCATGCTCATCTGGCCACCATCTGTCCCTGCAGGTGTCATGTGAGTCTCCTTGCTTAGTGGTGCCTGAGTGGAAATGCTCTCAGTGGTGGAGAATGGACAGGAGTCCCGGGCTGCCGTCTCGGTAGGTGGGCACAGGATGATCAAGGGTGGAAAGGGCTGCAGAGGGCTTACCATTGCATTGGCTTTCCTCACTTTGATATGAATGGGCACTGTCCATGAAGACAGCTAGGTGGAGAAAGGTTCCAGCCAAAGCAGGCTCTGAGGAGATCCTGTCCTTCCTGGGAGATGTCTGCCATTTTCTTGCTTGTAAAATGGAAATCTATGAAAAGCACAATGAAGATTTAAGGTGGGTTACCTGAAGACCAGGGATTTTCATTCAACCCTCAGTGCTCTGCCCTTACACTGTGATTGTTCACAGTTTGCTCAAGACATTGATTGGTCTGAAACAGCTCTTCCCAGGCACTGGTTTGTAGCCCCACTAATGGAATAAATTGGCAGCTTACATATATTGAACAAAAATTGTTTGTGACCAGCTCCCCAGAGCCCCTTAGATGCCCTCTCTTGGAGAGTCCTATACGCTGACTGGCCCTGGGCTGTCTTGGGCACTCTGGACTGGCTGTCAGTTACCTTGGAGAGGCAGGAGGTTGGTAACTTTTAGGATAAGGGGAAGCCAGAGGTGGCTTCTTGGGGGAAACCTGAATTTCCCTTTCCTCCCCATTGCTGTTCCCCACTTCAGAAAACTTTCTTCTTGAAAGTAACTACAGCCCTCAGAGGAGTGCCTTCCCCTCCTGGCCACTAGAGGGTCAGCTTCACCTGTCTCCTGCTGGCTTTCATGCAAAGACCCTTTCCCCATCCTACCCAGAACTCCCTAGAGCTGGAGCTGAGCCCCCAGTGAGTTCAGCGCCCTACAAGGGCAGCATAGATGACTCCTTGAGGGTGTGGACTTCTTGAAGGTGCGTGCTATTTATCCCTGCATTCTCTGACTCAGCACCTAGCAAATACTCAGTAGTGTTTGTACTTTTTATATAACTGCTGATAAGATCTTGCATAAAAAGAACATTTAAAATGGGACTTTTTCGGGGTTAAAACCTGTGCTTCAAAGGGCACTATGAAGAAAGTGAAAAGACAACCCCCAGAAAAAGGAGCTATTTGCCAGTCCTATATCTGAAAAGGATCTAGTGTATCCTGAATATATAAAGAACTGTTACAATTCAGCAATACAAAGACAATCCAGTTATGAAATGGATAAAGGATTTGAACAGCATTTCTCAAAGAAATAAACAAATGACCAATAAGTACATGAAAAGATCCTCATTACCATTAGACTCAGGGAAATGCAAATCCAAACCACAATGAGATACTACTTCATACCCACTAGGATGCCTATAATCAGTAAGACAATAAAAAATGTTGACAAAAATGTGAAAAATTGGTTGGGCTTGGTGGTGCAAGCCTGAAATTCTACTACTACTCAGGAGGAGAGAAAGGAGGATTGCAATTCCAGGACAGCCTAGGAAAAATGGCAATGAGTCTCTCTCAACAAATAAGCCAGCCATGATGGCACATGTCTGTATCTCTGTAATCCCAGTTACTGGGGAGGCAGAGGATCACAGTCTGAGGCCAGCCCAGGCAAAAAAAGGAGACCCTATCTAAAAACAAACTAAAGCAATAAAAGGGCTGGGAGCATGGCTCAAGTGGTCAAACACTTGCCTAGCAAGGACAAGGCCCTGAGTTCAATCCCCAATACTGCCCCACCCCCCCAGAAAAGTGGAAAAATTGGACTTATGAGACATTTGCTAGTGGGAATGTGAAATAGTGCAGACACTTTCAAAAACAGTTCAGTATTTCCTAGAAAAGTTAAACCCAGAGGTTTTGTTTGTTTTGTTGGTTGGTTGGTTTGTGTGGTGTTGGGAATCAAACTCAGGACCTCATACATACTAGGTAAGTGTTCTGTTACTGAGCTATATCCCCAGCCTAGCACAGGGTTTTATATGACTTAGCAATTCCATGCCTGAGTATATCCCAAGAGATTTGAAAACATGTCTACATAAGAGCTTGGATATAAATGTTCATAGCATTATAGCCAAAATTTGGAACAACTCAAATGTCCATTACTGATGGATCAATAAAACATGGTATATCCATGTAGTTGAATAAGGAATGAAGTACTGATACATCTTATAGCATAGATAAACCTTGAAAACATGCTGAGTGGAAGAAGCCAGACACAAAAGGTCACATGGTGCATGACTCCATTCATATGAAATGTGCAGAACAGGCAAATCTGTAAAACAGAAAGCAGATGACTGACTGCAGTCACTCCCAATTCCCTTCTCTTCAGCCCCTGGTGACCATTAATGTACAGTGTTTCTTTTGGGAGTGATGGAAAGGTCTAAAATTAGACAGTGGTGAAGGTTGCACAATTCTCTGAACAACTATTAAACTCTATAATTTAAATGGGTGAATTTTATGATATGTAAATACAGCTCATTAATTTTTTAAATTTAGTTTTCTAAACTATTAACATTTACTGTTGGACTAAATTCAAAATAAAAGAGTTAAACATTTATCCATTATCCTAACACTTAAACCAGTTTTTCTGTAATCCCTTGTAGTCTAGTGTGTTTGGGAAAAAAACACTTCTTGTAATTTTGACATAATTATGATTAAATAACTTTTGCTTTTCCCAAGGATTTTGTGTACATTTGTAATGTATTCATTATAGGTATTTACTATGTGCCAGGCATAGTGCCAAGTGATGGAGACACACAAGGAGCGTTGCCCCCAGTGCTGAAGATCAGGAAGTATTATTTCATCTGACAGATGGGGAAACTGAGGCTCAGAGAGGTTAAGTGAAAGGTCTGAGGTGCCCCCGCCGGTTATGACAGAGCTGAGACTGAATGGAAGCCTTTGGCTGCCAGGCCCAGATCTTTCCTAACGTAACCATGCTATTTCCTTGTTGTTTGGCACCGTGCTGGGATCTACCACAGGCCCTGAGCATAGGCTCAGCATGCCCTCTACCGCGGAACCCCACCCCAGCCCTTTTCCATGTTTTTATTGTTCTACAGTGGCACATTCTGTCCCGCAGCTCATCTCTGCAGAATCCCGGCCATGTAAGTTAGCTGGGAAGCCTAAGCCCTGCCCTTCCCAGTCACCCCTAGACATAACTGTGATGGAGCCAGAATTTAAACACAAGATTACATAGCTATAAGTTCACTGAAGTTTGGTTAGAAAACAAGAAGAATCCACAATAGAATATCCAAATAGTATCTTCTCTATGCTGTGTCTTTATTTGTCATAATGTGCAGAAGGAATCTATAGATACACACATTGGTGCGTGCGCACTGTATTTGAACACGCATTGAACGACAGGCCAAGGGTTACATTTTAGGGGCACTCTGTAGGATTGTCCCCTAAAGGTGTCTTCTGTTTGGCACTGCCTAGGTCATCAAGAAGAAACTGGTGGGATCCGTGAAGGCACTGCAGAAGCAGTGTGTGTCCCTGGACACAGTGGTCACTAGTGAAGACGGAGATGCCAACACCATGTGCAGTGCCTTGGAGGCCGTGTTTATTCACGGCCTGCATCCCAAACACATCCGTGCTGAGGCCGGAGGAAAAAGGAAGAAACACGCCTACCAGAAGCCTCTGCCTCAGCCTGTCTTCTGGCCCCTCCTGAAAGCTGTCACCCACAAGTGAGATCAGCTGGAGAGGGTTTGGTTGGGGAAGGAGCTTCAGTGTGGGAACTTGGCTCTTTCCAGCTGTGCGGAAGACACCCTGTGCTGTAGTGTAGAGATAGTGAGACAGGCCCAGAGAATCTACTAGAAAGGTTTATCTCCAGACCAAGCTGCCCAGACAGCCACTAGACCTTTCAACCCTCGGCCTTCAGGCAAGAGCCTGTGGCTGCTTCCCACCCCAGGGCTTCTGACTTTTTTGACCGCACCTAGAAGAGTGAGGCACTTATAAGAGCTTATGTGGCCTTCAAAGCCTAAAATACTTACTCTGTGACCTTTACAGAAAAAGTTTACTGAAACTGCCTTTGAATATTTGAACATCTGTGTCCTATTACATTCAATTATGAGGCTTGGGATTTTTATCAAAGAGTGGAATCCAGGTGGAATATCTGAATTTCACCTGGGGACCCTGTCTTTGGCCTTGCCCTAATTGCCTGGGCTTTTGAGTAAGTAGCTGTCACTGCACCTCTAAGGAATATTAAATGCCACCTTCATTTAGGCACTGAGCAAAGGTGCCTTGTCAGCCTCTGATCTGTATTTCCATGCCTGCTGACACTCTCCTAGTCAGGTTCTTACCCCTTTCCTGGGTGACATTGGCTTTCTAATTGTCCTCCTACCTTACTCTATGTTTTCTTAGGCCAGTCAGCTGGTAGCATGTACTGAGCTGAAGCTAGCTGGAACTCAGCCACACTGTCCAGGGGAGTGTGGTCTGCACTTCCACACAGGAGGCACACACAGGGCACTGTGGTAGCACAGATGAGGGGCATTTATGTCAGACGGAGGCATCTGGGACCTGAGTTTGGTACACCCGAGGTCTGATCTCCTTACCCAGAGCAGTCCACCCTATAGTGTACATAGCTGTGGCCAGGTCACTTTCCCGTGCAGAAATCTTTAGCTCCCACATGCAACCCTGGAGTCTGATTCACTAAGTTGGGGCCCCTGCATCTGTACCTGATAAGTTCTCCAGGCTTCTGCTGCACTTCCGTGTTGGGAACCTTTGCTGCATGTGCCTTAACAGTTTAATATTCAAGACCCTCCATTACCTGGCCTTGCAATCTAATCAGCCACTCTCTTCACTGTTGTAATTGGAGTGTTTTCACTCCTGTTACAGGCCTGTTGCTTTCTACCCTTTATGCCTTTTTCCTTTCAAACATTGTGCCTAGAAGGTTTTCGTCTTTGCCTCTGGAAAGCCTTCAGGGCCCCAGCTCAGCTGCTGACCTTTCTATGGCATTTTTCTTACTCTAAGGCAGAAATGATGGCCAAACTCCCACACCAGCTCCACCAACAGAAGGGCTCCATGGCAGTTACTTGGGGCTGGGGTATAGCTCAGTTGTAGAGTACTGCCTAGCATGCATAGGCCCTGGGTTTTGGTTTTAGTTTTTAAATCAGACACTATTGAGCACTTAGTGAGTCTCATGCACACCTCATTTCTTTGCCTGTCTTCCATCAGTTCACAAGTCACTTCATTCATTCATTTTTTATTCTTCCAGAGTTTCTTTATACAAATGTAAACTAGTATGAATAGATATCCGGTGACTTGATTTTCTGTGTCTTTCACACAAAACACTGTCCTGTGCCTTGGTTACTTTTTGCCTTTTTTTTTTTTTGGTGGTACTGGGTTTGAACTCAGGACCTCACACTTGCTAGGCAGGTACTCTTAACTACTAGAGCCGCTCCACCAGCCCAGCTTTTTGCCTTTTGATGAACAATGTACCTCAGAGATTGTACGTAGAGAGGATTCTTCTTCCTTACAGATACATGGTTTTCCATTGTAGGAAGGTAGCATAATGCATTTAACCAGTCTCCTGTTGGTGAACACTTGGACCACGTTTCATCTTTTCCTAATTCCAACAGTGCTATAATGAATTAGCTTTTGTTTGTGTGCAAGTATATATAGGGAAAATTCCAGAAGGCTTTCTGGGTCAAAGGGTAAAGTGTAGGTATTGCCAAATTGCCATCCATGAAGTGTAAACCAATTTGCTCTCCCACCAATACAAATGAGTGCCTATTTGCCCACAGCTTTGCCAGCTGAGTGTTGCCAAGTTTCACTTTCTGCCAATCTGATAGTAAAATACATAGTTTGTCTTAAAGTGGCTTGCATTTGCATTTCTCTTTCCAGATATTTAAGGGTTGTTGGTTTCTCTTTATCTTAAATAGTCTATTCATGTCTTTTGCCCATTCCTACTGAGTTATTTGTCTTTTTTTAATAAATTTTTTATTAGGATATATTTGTTATACAGGGGGGATTAATAGTGACACTTCTGATTAGGCTTGCATTGTAATTAGTTACATCATCCCCGTCATCTCTCCCCCTCAACCCCTTCCCCATCCTACTTAGAGCAATTGCAAGCTGTTTCTTTGTTCTATTTCATATATGAAGTCTGTCAAACATATTCCCTTACTTTAATCTCCTTGTTAGCCTCCCTCCCCTCCCACTAGTAACCCCCACACACACCTGTACCTATTTTACAGTCCCGTCTTTTGTTATTAATATATTTGTCTTTTCTTATTGATGTCTAGGAGCTTTTTCTATATTAGGGAAAAAGCTCTATTACATGAGTTGTGATTACTCCTCTCCTTTTTTGCAGCTGGTTCTCACTATGTTGCCCAGGCTGACCTCAAACTCCTGGACTCAAGCAATCCTGCTGTCCAGCTTCCTGAGTAGCTGGGACTACAGGTGCCCAGCCAAGAGTGTCTTTGGAGTTTGCTAATAGTTTTATTTTACTGCACAAGTTTTCTTTATTTTTTAAATATATTTTTATTTGACACAGTAATTATAATATTTGTGGGGCACAGTGACTTCTCCAGATGTGTGTAAAATGTAGAATATTCAAGGTAGTTGACATATCTATCCCCACAGACATTTATCATTTCTTTGTGTTGGGAACATTCAAAGTCCTCTGTACTAGCTATTTTACATATTTACTCCATTGCTGTCAAACATAGTTCTCCAGTGCTATGAATTTAGAAGTTATTCCTCCTACCCAGCCTCACCCCCATACCCATGAGCCATCCTCTCTCCACACTCTCCATCACTCCTCCCCTACACCCTTCCTAGGCTCTGGTAACTGCCATTCTATGCTCTTTCTTTGAGAACAACTTTTCAGTTTGCACATATCAACGAGAACACGGAGTATCTGTTCTGTGCCTGATTTATTTCACTTAACATAGTGTCCTCCAGTTCCATCCATGAGATGAAGAATGACAGGATTAGTATCCCGTTGTGTGGGTACACGCTCTTTCTCATCCATCAGTGGACACCTAGAGCTGCACTAAGCCTTCGAGTGACGATGTCTCTCCACCCTACTGATTTCATTCCCTTGGGTGTTTACCCATAGTGGGGCTCTGGAGACATGCAGTTTTATTTGGAGCTCTTTGAGGAACTTTCAGACCATTTTGCATAACAGCTGCCTCAGTTTACATTCCCACTAACACTGTTGGGATTTCCCTTTCTCCACATCCTCCCAGCATTGTTTCTTTTTTTGTCTTATAAATGTTCTTGCCGGCATGGTAGCCTGCGCTTTATAGAGTAAGGTACACTTAGGAAGCTGAGGCAGGAGGATTGAAAGTTCGAGGCCAGGCTAGGTAACTTAGGGAGACCCTGTTTAAAATAAAAAATTAAAAAAGGCTAGAGGGAGCTTGGTGGTAGAATGCTTCTTTAGCATGCACAAAGCTCTGGGTTTAATCCCCAGTACAACACACAAAAAAGTTTATATATCAGTTATTTTATAGCTTTTCAATTTTGAGTCTTTGTTACACTCAGACAAGTCAACTAAGTCTTTGTCTTAGTCTGTCTCTACATACACACAGTCATGAGAGCACATTCTGAAAAATGCACCATTAGGTGATTTGTTGTCATGTGAACATCCTGCAGTGTACTCACGTAAACCTACGTGGTGCAGCTCACACCGTTTGATGTGGTCTGCATGGAGTCATAGCAACCAATGTATGAAGCAGCTGCCGGGTAACGCACACACTTTCACAGTAAACTTTTTTTTTTTTTTTGGAGACACTGGATTTTGAACTCAGAGCTTTACACTTGCAAAGCAGGTATTCTACTACTTGAGTCACACCTCCAAGACCATTTTGCTCTGATTAATTTGGAGATAAGTCTCAAACTATTTGCTTGGGCTGTTCTTGAACCACAGTCCTCCCAATCAGCTAGGATTACAGGAGTGAGCCACTGGCAACTAGCTAACCTATTTTTTTTAAGCAAAAGAAAACACTTTGAAATATGGATAAAAAGTAGGTTTAGTAAACAGACAAACCAGTAGCATTATCTAATTATTGTTATCAAGTGTATGTATTGTACATAGCTAATTATATGTGCTACACTTTTTTTGGCGTACTTTGATTTGAACTCAGGCTTCATGCTATATACTTCTACACCTACCTCCGTGCTT